TCAGGACCGAGCCTTAGAGCGAGATCGGCCGCAACAGAGGAAAAAAAAATGTACCACCAGGATTTGACGACAGAGCTATGACTTGTCCTTGGATTCCTGTAGCCTTCTGCGGAATGTACACCCATGCTTTTTTTGGCAACTGCAAGAACTCCCGAAGTTGATCAACCTTCTGGAAGATAGACAAAGCACGTCTGAGAGGACTCTGAGGTGGCTGCCGTAGTGTACAGCTTGACATAGACCTTCGCAAGTTTGTTGCTGCTTTTCACAGTTGCACAGCTTTTACCCTTTTTCGGGCCATAGACTAGCTAATTCGTTTTGTGCATATTTCGATGACACGTTGGGCTTACCCCTTTCGTGTCTGAGGCAATCCTGTGTTTTCTGGTGTGGTTTTTTTGGTTGTGGCTCCGGCCCCTTTTCGTGTTGGTTTGCTGTTTTTCCTGCTGGCGAAACGAAAATCTGGCCGGGAGATTTGCGTGTCGTCGCTGTGTTGCCTGTTTTTTGCTTTTTTTTGGATTTGCCTCATATTGTGGAACCAAGGTGTTTCATAATGTTTACAATTTATTTAACCGCTTCTCTCATCGTCAGGACCGAGCCTTAGAGCGAAATCGGCCGCAACAGGGGAAAAAAAGTCAGATTGAGAAAGCAGTCGGAGGAGATCAGCTCATCTTCCCATGCAATCATCCAGTTTACAATTAGGCTCTTCTGCATGCTGCTTGGCTGAGCAACAGATTCATCGTCAGACAAGACAACAGCTTTTGAGAGAACTTCAGACCGCATGTACACTGGCAAGCTTTGCATGTTTGGCGAGAGTGTGTTAGGGTACATCAAACCTGATAGAAAGGGAGCTCCAAGGTGGTGCAAAGGTATCTGGTTGGGCAAAGCGCTGACGAATGACACTCACATCATTGGTTACAAAGAAAGCATTTTTGTGACGCGCAGTGTGCGGAGATTGCCAACTGCTTTCAACCTTGAGGACCTTGGTGATGTGACCACGAGCCCGTGGGAATATGGATATGCAGCGCTTGGCCACAGGATGATGTACAACAGACATCTTTCTCCACCTTTGGCTCTTGGTATGCCAATGATCGATGTTGAGGCCATTCAAGTCAAAAAGTATGCTGACGAGAATCCAAACGAGGATCTGGAACAAGAGCCTGCTTCTCAGGCGGGGCAGGAGTCCGTTTTGCCTCCTGACCCAGCTGGTGATTCAGTTGGTGCTTCAGCTGCTGAGGGCCACAAAAGGCCTGACTCAAGTGATGCAGCTGAGCCTCCAAGCCCAAAGAAAGCGCGTATTGGTGAAGAGCAGTGAGTCACCCCTCCAATGGATGACACCATGGACTCCGTTACGGAGCGTTCACCAAAGGCTCCAAGACTGGCAGAATCACCAAAGCAGCAAACGATGCAAATCACCAGCACAGATCTTGAACTTTATGAACATGAAGATGCTGCAGTGCAGTTTGACTTTGAAGATGCAGACCTTGACAAGTTGGAACAGTACCAATTTGAGTTTTACGATGATGAATTTTTGGAGAGCAGTGAGTCAAGTGATAATCAAGATGCTGAGATGGCCCGAATCTTACAGCAGTTGACATTTCCTTTCAGTGCAAAGGAGCCAGACTTGTCAGCTGACGAGATGGGTGCGTCTTGACTCGCTTGCAGACCAATTGGAATTGCAGCGTTTGCAGAAGCTCCAAGTTTTGCAAAGCCCAGAGACGGTGCCAAGCAACTCAAAAGTGCTGAGCACGAGATTCGTGCGAACTTGGTGCGCAAAACATGATGACAAAGGCAATGCAATTTGGCTCAGACGTTCAAGGTTTGTTGCCAGAGAGTTTGCTTGGTTGGAGCGAGAAAGTTTGTTTTCGCCAGCTAGTGGTTCAATCATCAGCCGCATCTTGCCCACCATTTTCTTGGAAACGCGAGACGTGGAAGATGCCATTTTGGCCAGCCTTGATGTGCGAGATGCATTTCTGACAGTGCAACAGGAGTGCCCAACGCTTGTTCACACCAGTGACGCTGGAGGAAATGTAAGGAGCTTTGCATTGGGTCGCGTTTTGCCTGGACACAGTGATGGCAGCTTGTTGTGGTACAAAGCCATCACATCATACCTGAAAAAGACCCTTGACCTTGAAGAACATGCTCCTCATCCATCAAAGGACAACAGTTGCATCGTCATGATCCATGTCGATGATTTACTTGTTGCAGGGCGCAAAAGCTTTGTCCTTGGAAGGTTTGCCACGGAACTTCGCAAGGCCTATGACATCTCAATGCAGTGTATGGAAAAACCTGGTGATGAGATTACGTTTTTGAAGCGGTTGCATGTCCTTCATCATGACAGCCGCATGACGATTCAGACTCACTGGAAGCACATCAGTCAGTTGTGCTCACTGCTTGGGATGAATCCCAAACATCAAAACAAAAAGACGCCTGCACATTCAGACATCGATCGTGAAGATGCAACAGAAGATTTGTCTGGTGATGTTGCAAGCATTTTCAGAACGTGCGTTGGTATCTTGATGTACCTGGCCAATGATGTTCCACATTGCCAATACGTGATTCGCCATTTGTCAACATACAGTTCAAAGCCTACTCAGAAGAGCTAGCATTTGGTTGCGTATTTGGCAAGCCACAGTGAAATCTCAATGTCTCTGAAATGGAATGGCCGCAATAGCGGGATTTACCATGGGTACCCTGACATCAGCCAATGCGACAATGTGCTGGAGGTATTTACTGACAGCGACTGGGCAAGCGACAGGCAGTCGCGCAGAAGTGTTTCTTGCTGCGTGATTTTCTACGATGGTTGCCTCCTCTTTTCTGCTTCAAGGACCCAGAAAATTATCAGTTTGAGTTCAGCGGAAGCAGAAGTCTATGCAAGCAGCAGCGGATGTTCTGATGCAATTCTTCTGTCAAGAATGCTTGCTTGGTTGACTGGTCGCCGCACAATCATCTATGCATACACAGATTCAAGCGGCGCGAAAGGCATCCTCCAACGTCAGGGAGTGGGCCGCCTGAGACATCTGAGTTGCAGAATCCTATGGTTACAACAATTGATTTCAGCTGGCATCATCAAACTTTGCAGCGTGAGTGGAAGCATCAACCCTGCAGACATTGGAACAAAACGACTTTCAGCACCGAGATTGAGATCATTGATGTCAGTGTTGGGTTTGTCGAACCGCGACACAGGGGCTCTTGAAGGCAGTGATGATCCTGGAAAAGTGTTTATCAAGCGCTACAATGTACGCGCTCTTGTCTGCGCCTTGAGCCTACTGAATTTCCAGGGATGTGAGTCAACAGAGCCCGTTTCAAGTGATCAAGGACTTTTGGTCTTTACAGTTTTGCTTGGCCTTGTCTTGATGCTGCCACTGGTATTTTCATGGCTTGGTTGGTTTGCAATGCGTGCAACAGAGCAAGAGCCTGAACACGAGATCATGCCAGTTGCAAGTGGTTCAAGTGGTGACCCAGGTTTGCATGACACGTTTGATGGACCTGCAGAACCCGCAATGCCAAAGATGCCACCAATTCCATGTCTGATTGGAAGCAGCAGTGACCCAATCACCACTGGTGCAAGCAGTTCAACTGATCCATCGACAGATGCTGGTGGATGGGACGATTCTGGCATGCCAAAGTTTTCAAGTTCGAGGAACTTACCACTTCCAGGAGATGCATGGTCCCCGGAAGCAATGCTGACCTGGATGTACGAAAGATGCATGCGTCGCCACGAAGCTGCAACAACTGATGCCCGAAGAACTTTGTATGCTGAAAGACTTGCTGTTCTACGTGCTGTGATGCGAGAGTGCCGAAGCAATGATCCAGGACTGCGACACTCTGCGAGCCAAATGACTCGAACGATGAGTGACATTTCAACTGATGAGGAGTCGCCAAACAATGGCTTTTCAACAATCGACATGTGTGCAGTTTTGGATGACGCTGAAAGAGCTGTGAGCATTGGCACACAGTTGGTTCAAACAATGGGAGCATCCTCGAGCAGCGCGCCAGCAGCAAGCTCACATGTGAATGCAGTTGCCGATGCCATGATCAACATGTTGGCATCGAATGGTTCAAATGGGCAAGAAGCAGCTGAAGAAGAGGAAATGGAAACAGACTCAGACTTTGAAATGGAAACCCAATCAGAGCGAGCACGACGCTACATATCCAGCGAGATGTGCGAAGTAAGTGATCCAGAAGAATGGATGGTGTACCGCCACGGCCAAAGCGATGATGACAACTCCAGCTCAGAAACTTAGCCGTGAAGTGGGGTCCATCCAATAATTCAGAAAATTTGGTAGCTTTGATTGTTAGTGACAAGAGCTTCAAACTGACTTCAAAGAAGTCTTGCAAGTAGTGGCACGCCACAGTGCGCCCCAGCGGCATTCGTTTGGAGCTCCTAGCGATTTTCAACATTTGCGTAGGTGCATGGTGCCATTTCAAACATTTGATGCCTTGTTGACACACGCATCAAGGCGGGGCGCAACATATTGTCGCCTGTTGTAGCTGTGCAGTTGCATGTGTTGCATCCCATGTCACATAGGAATTTGATCAGGTAGTATCAGTTCTTATCGTGAGGCGCTTGTGACTCAAGCAAAACAAACAGATCTGCAATCCGGATATGTTGGACTCCACAGACGCATGCTAGACGCGAAGGAGGCTTTTGAATGTTTGTTGTAAAGACGGTTTTTTTTCAATTTCCTATCTGAACATGTGCTTCGGAATCAAAAACAAGTGGTTTTCTCATTTCAACATGTCTCGTGCAAGGGAACGTTGCGGTGTTGCTGTTGAAAAAACGGTGCAAATCTTACTTTGTGACCTTGTGGCCGTTTACGCTTTTATCAGCTTGACATTTGCGGGTGTTTAGCTGGTTGACTTGACATTCAATGATGGCAACCAACATAAACCCCAAGCAACAAACAAACACAATAAACTGCACATGGAGGCAAAACAAACTAACCAAAAAGGACAATTTCCCGATTGCCATTGATTAATACACTTGAAACATTAACATCATATGGTTTCGGAACAATTGAACTGAACGCCCGCGTTTCAACAATGTCGGGTCAGAACCTAAGTTTTGTGTTTTCGACATTGCTGTAATTGTGTTTTGTTTTGACATATTTCAGGCGAAGATGGCAGCAACAAGCAGGCACGTGTGGTTTGTGGGAAAACACCAAACATGACAGCTGTGTTGCCCAAATTGTCCCAAGGCTAACAACAGGTGGCGGGTCTTGGCAGGTGTTCAATCCTCAGAATGTTCAGATTTTTCCAATGAATTTCCGTTGGAGTGGCTGGACAGCTGAGGCATCTGTGGTTTCCACTTCGATTGGGCTCTATTTGAGGTGTCTTGAAACACACTAAAATTTTGTGCATATTTCAGCATCCCAAAATACAGCGGTTTGGCTGTTTTGGATTTTTCCCGACATGTTTTTGGTAACATGATTTGGACATTTGTCACCAGACATGTGATGAAAATTGGCACGGGCAGGTTTCATCACCTGCTGTCCATCGCCAGCTTGAGGAGGACATGCAAATGATCACCAGAGTCACCATGAGTTCGTTGTTACAGCAGGAATCATGACAGCATCGTTGAGATGGTCGACCAACATCCAGTTTTGGCGCCACTTTGCTACGTTCAAACCTCAGCCAAATGTGAAACATCCAAAAATCATCCTACTGATATAATGTTCCTGTGTGTTTGGTTCAAACTCCGAGACTTGAAACGTATTTTTCCATGTTTGCCATTTTTTTTTCCTGTTCATTTTCATTTTTCCACATCCATGGACAGGGTCAAACTGAGTGACCGGTTGCCCAACATCCAATTGCCTGAGATTGGCGTTCTTGTTGCTGTGATCGGCATCACTTGTCCAGGCCAGGATGTGCCAGGTGTGTGTGAAAATGGGGAACTCCAAGTTATCGCCATGAAATAAGAGGGATGATGATTAGCCAATGGATATACCTCATTTTTCAGACAAACATCCCGGATGACACGCATTTTTTGTGGATGGATAGTTGAACCACAAATAAATCCTTGGCCAAAAATCCGATAATATGTGATCTATGTTCACAATATTCTACATATCATGATCATATTGGTTATGTCCTATTTATATATATATAATATATATATAATATATATTATATATATTATATATATATATATATTATACTTTATCCCATATGGGTTAGATTTGGTGCTTATATGCTCACAATATGGGATATATGATAGGACATAACCAATATGATGGAACCCATATATTACAACTCAATATTTCTTCTGAAACCATCTCGCCACAGTCTTCTCAGGAGCCACGATGCTCAGTTTCCTTGGTGGCGTGCTCTTCAAGCAGCCCCTGACCGAGGGAGGACACATGGGATTCTTAGTCGGATAGAGGGTTTAAAAATGACCAAATGGTGGACTGTTGATGGCAGTTAAAAAAGTAAGATAGCGAAACTTTTGAAAAAACCGAAAAACCGGAACAGTCCTGGAACCTTGTTGGAACCTTTCGCTGTTGGGTTGGCTTATATACATATATATGATATGGTTTGCACATATTTACCATTTTTTCATCCTGATGCGGAGATTCTTGTCTCAAACACGAACTGGGGTGGTGTTTTGCATTCACAACTGGGCTGTGCGTTTCTGAACTGAGGCCATATGCCAGCATGTATGCCTACATTGGCTACATCGTCTGGTGCTGAAATAACTTTCACTGGCTGACTTTGCTGACTATGGCTGCGGCCCAGGTTGGGGCGACGATTTCATATTTTGTCACAACTTTTGTGCTGGGGGACTACATGTCTGGGCCACAGCGGCTGGATCTTGAAAGATGGGAAGCAATGCAGTTGTTTCACCCTAGGCGGAAACGACTGGCCGCAAACTCCCAGCTCTATCAGAAGTTCGAGGTGAGGGAAACTTCGATTTCATCCTTTTTGAAGGTGAGGGAATGATGCTGAAGCACAGTTTTTCAAGGGTGCAGCTGGGATGTTCTATTCTGTCACATAAAGGGTGAAATCAGGTTGACACTGGCACCCAGCCGAATAAAAAAAAACCGCGAAAGATTACGCTTGCCTTTCATAGCAATGGATTCTTCCTAATCAAAAAGGGTGCAGATATAGACATCCCGTACTGTCTTATGGTATCTCCACACCATGCTTTTGCTTTACTGGTCTTTAGGTTCTCTTTGCGATGTGTCTCCGTTGTGTGAAGTTTCGAAAGACCAAGACGTAGCCTGTTTTGGTTTCGCAGCAATTCAGGCCAATGTCCGTTCGAAACTCAGATGGACGTCCCTAGCAGATCAAGATGATCAAACTCCAGTTTCTGTTTCCCAGATGGAAAGTCGACGCTGAGGTCGCAATGCCTTTGCTTACCTTGTAGCTGCGCGCTACACCATGGTCGAAAAACACAGCTGTCACTGCTGTCACTGCTGTCACTCTTCCCTCAAAATCAAAGAGCTGCAGAATTGATAGAATTGGGTGGAGTGATACACCTGTCTTTTTTAAATTCTCCAAGAATGGTTGGTCCAAATTTTTGTCCCCATTGACCGGAGCAAAGCGCTCAGGTCTTCCCTTTCTTTTTCGTGAACGGAGCAGCCGCCTTGGTCGGGGTTCGATGCAGGACGAACCAGGGAAATGAGCAGAAGATTGATGGCTGGTGCAAAATGCTGGGGAGAATCTTGAGGATTTCCCATTTTTTCGATTCGTTCTCATTTTCAGCTGGTGGAATATGATTGAAGTATTGGCTGAAGTATTGGTTCACACTTTTGGTTCTGTGGCTTCTGGATTCTCTGTAAATTTTTCTATATGTTTTCTGTAATTTGATGAGTACCCACATTGAAATCCTCAGGCACCATGGAAAAAGTCTCTCCCAGGACTTTCATTGCCGCGACCTCTGTGAGCTGTATTCCGGGCTCCGTCGACCCGGCACGTTCGAAACGTTTTTTTGGAGAAATCATTGGATGTGAAGGGTTGGTTTCAAGGGAAAATCGGCTGGAAACCCACAAACTTTCACCATCTGAATTGATTATATATAGTTGATATAGTATTGTTATGTAATGTATTGTTTATATACACCTTTTCGGTAAAGTTGTGTGCTTAAGACCTTTCCAAAGGAATTGACAGATGGCTTTGGAGGCTTTTCGACTCCGTTTTTGGAAGATGAATTCCGCGACTGGCCAGGTAATTTACACCACTGCAGGGGGCGCGCTGGCCAACTTGCTACATAAAATGACTGATGATGAGGCAGGGTTTTTTCAAAGCGAGGCTTTTTCAGAGGCCTCACGGCGGATTTTCCATGTATGCAAGCCCAATCCTTTTTTTGTGTTCCCCCGATTTTTTTGGATTGATTTACTTTTTCAAATTTCACAGATTTTTCAATATGTGCGTGCTAAAAGCAATACATTTCGCCCTGTCATGTGGGGATGATAATATTGCCCATGGCATTTGTTTTGGGTTGATGGTTGATGGATTTACCACACACATTTCATGCATTTCATGGTGCCCAGATGATCCGGATGCAGGAACTGGACAAAAGTCAGTTGATTTGGGCAGCTCTGAGTGATAGCAATGTGAAGATTTGCATGGCGGGCGTCACATGTGCGCTCATGGTTGGAACCTTGAGGGGGCCTGGTCAGGAAAACGAGGGGGTCAGGGAAACACCGACATGTCTTTCAAAAACTAAGATGGGTTGAAGTGTAAGGATGAATTTGTGGCCTTGGGACATGATCTACCAGAATCTACCAGTAATTGTTGAATTCGTTGATTTGATACTTGAAAGGACCGACTCTCTGGGTCCAAGTTTGCCCAAGGTGGTAGCCATCATCCAGTTCACTCAGTCGGAGGAGAAATCCAAGGGCTGCCTGCCTCAATTGTGACTGGATCCGTGGGGTTGTCGCAGGTGAAGAGTCACCAAACATCACATCCTTTCTCTGGTTGATTAAGGTTGATTAAGGTTGAAGGGGAAAACGTTCCATTTTTCAACCATTCTGGGAAGCTCATGGGGTTTCAACAAACGGATGGAAACGCTGTATCTCGAGCGGATCTGCGTTGGATTTGCGGCATGAGGATCCTGAAATCCTGTCCTGAGCTGAAACGAGTCGCTGCATGGTGGGGCCCCACTGGAAATGGCTTCAAGCCAAGCCTTAGAGCCTTGGTCCATTTCCGGAAGGTTGGCCGACTCACATGGAGAAAAAAAACGTTGAGAATGTTGACGGCTGAAGCGAGTTGAGATTTTAGAGGAACTTAGAAGTTTGAATTTCTCTGTTTCTCTTCGTTTTTTGTGATTTGTATCCGGGTTCTAAGATTCTAAGCAGCAAATCATACATTTTGATTCTTTTTGATATTTTTTGAGTGTTTCCAGAAAGTTTCGTGAACTTCAACCCTTGAAGGGAGCTTTTCAGGGCAATTTTAAACACAACACACTTCCAATCTCTTGCCTTCTTGCAGTTGGTGGCTCAAGTTTTTATTGCAATGAACATGTGCCACGTTTATATGGTTCAAACATCTCCCCATTGCAACCAAGTCAATAAGTGGAGTCAAGACTTAAGGAGCTAAAGTCACGACCAAACCGTTCATTTCTTTTTTGGTCACAAAACACCTTGCTGGATACAGCTGCTTGATCGCTTGACCTTGTCAGCATGCAGAGGCCCAACCATCAGAGATGTTTTCTTAGCCAATGTCACTTGGTTTTCCTTCCAAAGTTGATCATTGGCTGCCGGAATTTGGAGTCCAGCCAAGACACATGTATGACACATGTATTTTATAATTACATACATTGCTTTTTCGAATGGGTTCTGGGCCTCACGATTGAACATAGCACATATTTCTGGGGCATTCTGGGGGCCTGGCTCCACCAAATAGATGATTGCAAGTTACATTCCAACTTGAGTGCTCTTCCAACCCTTTATACATAGTTGCTCATTACCAATGAGTAATCCAACTCATCCTACTGAACGCTTTTCATATATTTTTTGAGGGCATCTTGTTGTTCATCTCCCCATTTTTGGATTTTTTGGGCCATGTATCACCACAGCACCAGGTGCGTTCCTCGTGAGCAGAATGGCTCCACTCGGCTCCTGGGGTCGCGCTATGTGGGCCCACAAGGCCGTATCAAAGTTTATCAACTTAACAGATTTGAGCCAAATGACATCAAAACTTCAAGTTTCTGTGCCAAAATCTTTAGGGATCACCATCCAGCCATCTCTTTAAAAACTGGTCAGTTTCGAAGGTGCGTTGTCCTGCTTGGCCCCATTGGCATCCCAACTCACCTCGCCGAGCGCCACTTGGAGGTTTTTGTGTCTTTGGGGCTGAAAGCTTCAATGAATTTTCGGATTCTGACGTGGATGACGAGCCGTATATATATATATATCTCTATATATGTATAATATATATATATATCTGTTGTCAGATTGACACTGGTAGCTTGTTCACTTCCAATCCTAATCCCAGTTGGAACCCTGTCCAGCACTGCAAACTCCTGTTTTTGCCCAATGCGAAGCCACGACCTGCAATCAGTCCAACGCACCCACAGCTGGCCACAGCTGTATCCGCTAAGCGTCACTGATAGCGCTATTGCTCAAGCTAATCCCTCCCTCCAGCCCAGAGGCTGCGGCAACAACTGGTTACTGGAAGAACCCCCTGGTTCCATGAGGGAATGACCTCAAGCACATGTGAACTGGCCTGGCTTTCACATTCGTACTATCAAAATTTTGTTCATCATGTGCACATTCCAGATACGACTTCGGTGATCAGGATGGTGAAGACAATCACGGACATGATGTTGGAAAAATACCCAGTTGATTACGCATTGAAGACAATGTCAACCTCATCACTGGTAGTTGTCTCCTGTGAGGCAGAGACCATGCTTGCATCATCGAAAGATCTAATTGGGTTTTCAGAACTTCAATCGGATAGCGCATGGACGGCTTGGCTTTTCCACAAACTACCGATGCTCTGAACTTTCGGGATTGAGAGCTTGAAGCCATTTGATTCTGGTTCTTGCATCTGATCTAGCCTTGAGTATTTCATGCTCGTCATGCAAACTGTAGTGACCTTGCTGTAAGCATGTCCTAAGCATGGTATTGTCCATGACTTTTGTCAACGCATCAGCTACTTGAGCGGCTGATGGAACCCATCGGATCTGAATGCCATTTTGGATATGTTCTCGAATCAGCTTGGCTTGAAGTTGAGTACGAAATTCAGTGCAAGTTGGGGGAGCATTACCGTTGATTAAGTCAAAGAGTGATTTGCAATCAGTGGTAATGAAATCAGAACGTTCCTTGGGAATATCATTGAGGATTCTTTTGGCAACTTCAGGCATCGGCTGTTTCTCAGGCAGTTCTGGTGTCAACGCTGAAAATGCTGGTGGAAGTCGGAGGAGAGTGCTATCAGCTTGTCTCCAATCACAGCGATGATCACATATCCATGCCCAGAAAAGGCGCACCCAAGAAAGCATATCCACTGCTCCTGCCAGAGCCATTGCTTCGGCAGACAATGTGCTGACTGCTACCTTCTGGATTTTCTTAGAATGCCATACCATTGGATTGATTGGACTGCGTCTATTTTCACCAATGCACTTGTGAGCAGACATGATCATCATTCCCTGATGTGAGTCAGGGCATTTCTCTGACGCAAAGGAGGCATCGGAAAAAGCAACAAACCGCAAATCAGGAACTGGTATGGATTGTATTCGCAGGGCCACATTGGAATGTTGTTTTGCTTCATGAAGGGTTCGATTTGCTTCAACCAATGTGGACACTTTTGCTTTGTTGATTTGGCTTTGAAGCCAACCCAGTCGGCTGCATATGTCAGGTCTCGTGTTTACAGCTGCATACTGTAGGCTCCCTATCAGAGCTCGCAACGCTTGTCGTTCCTCTTCTGTGACGACACTGTCTGGTTGACACCTTCGATCATGAGAGATGGAAATTGCATGAATATCCCGAACATACTGTGACTGGTTCACTGTGATAGTGTAATCAGCTTCTTGCGTGACATGTAAACCAGTGAACACAAATTTGTGCATCTTACGGGATCCAAAAGGAAACTTGGCTTCCAGTTGTTTGAGCTTGTTCTGAAAAGTTTCATTCCCACAACACAACCCATCATCAACATGAACACCAATCAGACCTTGTGTCTCCTGGGTTTTGGGGTCACTCAGATGGAACAGGCACGGATCAAACGGTGATGCTTGGAATCCCAGCTCCTCTAGGGTCTTCTTCAGTTCAACAAACCAGAGATATGGTGCGTCAACACGCCCATAGGCACCTTTGAGAAGTTGCACCACTTCATCTTGACGGAGCTTGAGTTTCTGTCGCATCTCTTCTGGTGGTTCCATGCCTAAAACGCGATTGCTCTGCTCGCTGCCTCGTAAAAATGCAGTCTGTATATCGAAGCTTTGGATATCCCATTTTCGGCTGGCACAGTACTGAAGGAGAAGCATCCGAGTCAGTTTATTCATTGTCGGACTATCACGGGGAATTTCTGATACTTCAGGATCTTCAAAACCAAGCACAACTAGTCTAGCCTTCGGTTTCATTTTCTGGGATTGTTGGGGTTGATCAGCTGTGGGATCAACTTCTTTCCAAGTTAAAATCCATCGGCTTCGGAGAATGTTGGCTTTTGGGATCTGATTACGCATGATTTTTGTGATAGTCTCGGTACTGATCCAGCTTTCCACTTCTTTCATCTTGGCCTGCCGGAAACGCTCGCGATCTTCAGCTGTGAGATCTGACAATTTCACCTCACTGCGCTGTCGTTTTGCTGCTGAAACAAGGAAAGCCATTTCCTGTGGTTTTGTTTCCTCACGCCAGCGGGTGATGTCTTGAGCACAAATGGGAATCTCTAATTTCCAGCATTGATCATTATCAACTTGGAAAACATGATCGGCTTCCACAAAGAGTTCATCATCCGTATCTGGAATTGGCACTTCCACTGGATTGGGTGGCTGTTCAACATTTTCGGAGGGATCCTGGTTGTTGGGAACTGGTTCACCATCAGGTTGTTCAGAGTTACTGTCACTTATTGGGATTACTGAAACGTTAGGGTTATCTTCATTGGGGATTATTGGAATCTGATTCACATCTTGATTATTGGCAGTGGTAGTTGAACTTGGTGCTTCAGTGGGAATTAAATTGTGATATTGTACTCCGCCATGTGGTGGGATAATGCTTTGATTTGGTGACGTGGAACTTGGAGAATCACCTGATTGATTTTCATTGATTGTGGATCGGTGTTGCCACTCCTCAACTGCTGACAGCGGTCGGAGGTGTTCCGGAGCTACGCGATACAGCTTGCTGCCCATGGTGATCCACACAACATGTGAACTTTCTTGCAACACAACTCGAAGGGGACCTATCCAAGAGCCATCAGCTTCACCACGTTTTCGCCACATCATGACATGATCTCCCTGGACATACTTGCCCCGATTGGGTCTACTCCTTTGGACCAGGGCTCTTCTTAGGACCTGACAATTGTCAGTGGCAGTGAAGGCGCGACGCGCGCGTTCTCGCAGGGCCAGTTCCTCTCTAAATCGGAGACCTTCAGGACGATCATCAATGGCTAAACTGTGGGAAGGCAACTGCATATCTGAAACTACTGAACCGGCTACCCTACTTGACTTTCCAAACACAAGGACTTCTGGTGGATAACCCCTGTGACGGCTCCATTGATTTTTGGTTGCAGTGGCCAAGGCGGTTGCTTGGCTTACTTTTTCAAAGGAATCAAGTGGTTCTTCGGTGTCCATTTTGTTCAAAATGCTTTGCAGTACAGCTCCATGTCTCTCAATCCTGGAATTTTGCCAGTGTGCTTCTGTGGCAATGGTTCGATGTTTGATTGAGTACCGTTGCAAAAATGTCATGAAGTCATTGGAGTTCAGTTCTGTCCCTGCATCCATGCATAGGAGACCTGGAGGTCCGGCCCATTGAATCCACCCCTGGTGAAGCGCATGTATGGCCTGTTCAGCATCATGTGCACGAGTAACCACGACAGTGTGATACAAGGTACTTTGATCCAACATGTGATAGATGTTATACTGTTGCCCCATCTTATTAGTCCATGTGATACCATCAATTGCAACAACATCTCCAAAATCCCCATGGTCATGTATGGAACTTGGACGAGCTATCTTGGGATCTTGATTCTCAGCACATGTTGAACATTTCAGGTCTCCGATGGCTTGGAGAATTTCACTGGGGCATCCCAGTTGTCGACAGAACTCTGTCAATTTCATAGCTCCCGGATGGCCCAGGTTTCGGTGAACTTTGAGAAGCCATGCCTGAGTTTCTGGCTTCAACATCATGAAACGTGGTCCATGTTTCTGAGAGGCTAGGTCAATGACATGACGATCTATTGATTCGGTCTTTTCTGGTTCGGAAACTCTTTGGGCCACATCCATTGGCTCATGAGTGCGCGGTCGCTTTGGTTCTGGTTCTGATCCTTCGAACTCAGCAGAGCGAACAGCACGGACGTCGGCAGAAGATTGAGACTGCACTGGAACATGTTCGGAAACAGGTATCTCTTGGCCTACAACTGTCTTGGCTTTGGCAAATATGGTCAGACTGACTCTGGCTGGCGTTCCCTTTCGACGCAAGCCTTTAAATGTCAGTTTCTCCCAGGGCTCCCATTCATCATCAACAACCACATCTTCATGCTTGCGACGGATGCAAATGCGTTTTCTTAGAGGAGCACTACCTGGTGGAACATTTCTGGTAGGGCCAGGATACCGGTCTGTGCCACGACAAAGGACCACATGTTTAATCTCATGTTCAGGACATAACATGGAAATCTCATGAATGATTTCTCCAGTGTCAATTACCAGTGGTCCAACACGTGGGGCCATTACATTGGCACGTCTCATCACTGTCTGCCAGCTGGCGTCAGCAAATCGCTGTGCAATGGCTTGTGGACTCAATTTTGACATGAGGCGTCTCTTCTTGGTTGGGTGTTCATCGTTATTTTCCTGAGAAGGTGGGTCATCCATTGCAAACACAGGCTTTTCCTTTGGAACTTCATAAAGCAAGATCTTGACTACCTGTCGAGCAAATTTGGCAGGGTACTTCTCAGTAAAAGTGGACAATGACATACGCTTTCCCTCACGAACATCAACAAATTGCAGGCTTCCTGCACTTTGTCGGTGTTCGTGATCGGGATTGTACAGCTTTCCATGGATGGCTCGGGCCAACGGATCTGACGTTGTTGCTACGTTCAAACGCTTTCGGATGGGCATGGCTGATTCTGGATCGGTCAAGTTGCCCATGCGGCAGAGGTCAAAGCGGCAAAGCCTTGTGTGTTCACCAATTTCACTTAGTGGTTGGAGCTGCAACATCTTGGAACCATCCGGCTGTTCTAAGTGAAAATGCAGTGATCTCTGCACCTGAAATCGATACAGAACAATGGCTAAGCTGATCTGCCAAAGGCTTGCAAGACGTTTCTGAAGAATGTCATGCAACCCATGGAGTGATTCATTCCGCCACATAAGACCTATAGGCGGTTTCCACACAGAACCGTGTCCACGCACCCAGGGTCCACATTCAGGGCTGTACCACAGATTCTTGGGATTCTGGGTGGTCAACACTTGAAACATTCTTCGGCGTCCTGCAGCTGTTTGGAGGTCACCTTCTGCCAATCCGAATCTTTTGGAGCGACCGCCAATGGACGACATTTGCTTTGTGAGTTCACTGTCACTGGAACACATGACTTCAAACAAATCAAGTTGAGGAAGTCGAAACTTGTTCTTCTGATTTTGTTGAATCACTTGGTCAAGTTCAGATTGAAATTGTTTTACCATACGTTGGATTCGTCGGTGATAACTGTTGTTGGAAACATCATGTGTGAAGTCAAAGTCTGTGTCCAGGGTCATGTTCAAATGCACCTCTTCTGCAAACATACCATGCCGGATCAGATCAGCCTCAGTTGCACTCAGAACTCTCAGTTCTCGGATTTCACCTGCATCTTCTTCATGTGCTCCAGCATTTGGTCTTCACCTGGACATCCTTCAGGCGCAGACGGACATACTGCACAAACATCATGTGCTCTGGTTTGTCGCTCATCTCGAACCTGTTCAAAATGAACTCGGTCCATTGTGCGTCCTCGAACGCCTGAGCATAGGTCATACCCTTCTTTGACTCTCCGAAGGTGATCTTCTCGCTGGCTAACTCTTCCAGAGTCATGGCACTCACGACCTCTCGAGAGATCTGCTTCTTCTGCGACTTGTTGTACTCCTTGAGCTGCAAAGCCAGGGACGTCATATTCCCCCGGTGTTGAGTCACGTTCTGCGTTGGTCTTTGGACCACACACTGCTGAGTCAGTCGGACATGATGGTGACGGGCTCACCGGCAAGTGGGTTCTCAAAACTGTTTCATGGCAACTGACTGAACTTTCAAGCGGAGATGATTGGTCTGTCAAGTTGAGCTCACTACCCCTAAGGCTTCCCTGCGGCTGTTTGACTGTCATTTTGGCACCACGGTCAGTTTCAGTCTGAGCCATGCAAGAGGCCTCACCTGATTCACCAGAAAAACTATCATCCCAAAGTTGATTCAAATTCATTAAGCAACAGATTCTTTGGAGATCTTTCAAGAGTGAGAAACTTTCGTAAGGCCTTACTCCACATGGTTCCCTCTTCAGTGTCAATCACAGCTTGAATCTGTTTCAAAAACGCACTTGACAGTAAAAAAGGTGTTGGACCTGGAACAACTGCAATTCGGAAACATCCCTTTTGGATCGGGAGCACAAGTGCATGTTGGCTCGTCAGCGTCTGATGATTACCAAATCGAAACGCTAAGTGGCATGGTGCACGGTGTGCTTGCTTTCGGATCTGTTCGGGAAGACCCTGCAAAAGTTCTGTCACCTGATGGCTTCCAATCACTGTCTGTGAAGCCCCTAAATCAACAATGCCATGGGTACCTGATGACGCAAAGTGTATGTCATGTGAAATCACACTGGATGCCGGGTGATCTTTCGGATCATGCATGTGAGACGTCGAGGGACACTTTACATCATGGGACTTTGGCTGCGCAGCATCACGGTGGTTGGCACGAATGCTCAGTTCATGCCTGAGGGCCATTCGGATGCGTGACATAACATGTGATTTAAATCCCCATTTCTTACCCTTATCATTATTCCAATTATTCCCAAGTTTATTTCCCGTGATTACCCCAAAACATGCGGCTGCACAATCTGGCAAAGGCTCGGGAAATCTCATCTCAGGCAAATGGGAGATCTCGGGCGGCATCTCTGTTGGCACATCGTCGACGACCGCCATGGAAATCGGAACTGTTGATCCATCACTTGGAGGGCCAGTGGACGAGGCTGATTGACGAAGGCTACATTCGGCCTTCCAATGACCCTTTTTCCCGCACAGTCTGCACGTCGAATTAGCTATCCTCTGTGCTAGTGACTTTCCTTTTCCGCCTCCTTTTCCAAAACCTTTCTTGCCCCCACTTTTCCCTCCTTTTCTCACGGGCCAAAATCCTCTGAATTTGGCACGTTCTGTCAGGCGGCGACGTGCCTCCTGATATGAGGAAAAATAGGCAGCGAGGTCTGCATCACTCTGCACTGCTTCTGTCACTGCGTCCTCAAACTGTACCACCATAGCAGCATCTTCATCATTGTCATTGGCTAACTGTGCTGAGGTTTCATCATCCAGTGGATCATCAACAGTCCAATACGTGTCATGTTCTTCATCCTCTTCTACTTCATCAACATTGAAGGCCAAATGGTCATAGGTTTTCATGTTCTTTTCTCGTTTGGCACCCGTGTAGTCTTGAAAGAAAGATGAACCTAACATGCGTCTGGCTGCTACGACCTTCTTCCATTCCAGTTTCTGTCCAATTTGTTCAGCTCCGGACTCCACCAACACGCGCTTTTTGTCTTCAGCTGAAAGGCGGCTGCCACGAAGCAAAACATACGATCGAATCTGATCCATGTCAACGTCCTTGGTCAAAAGCTCAGTCCAAACCACATCAACACGGGCGATGAAACTGTCACCTGTCTCGTCAGGCTTCTGCTGACATCGATACAAGGCCTTTTCCACCAACTCAAAACGATGCTCAAGGGGAATCTGTCCCCAGGTGCCCCCAACCAATTCCACCAGTTTCTGAACCCCTTTACGGTCATTCACCAAGAGGTCCTTTTGATGCAAATGAAGCTTCTGGTAGGCTGATCTCTTTGTGTTGAGGATCAGTCGGGTGATGAGCTCCAGGATTTTGGTCTGGGGCCATGCTTCAAGCAGTAGGTGAACCTTGCTGGACCAAATGTCCACATTGTCACTTGCAGGATCAAACGAAGGCACTAACAGCGCAAGCTGATTCGAGATGGTTCCACCCCCATCAGTTCCAGCCTGTCCTCCAGATGATTCAGTCATGAATTCTGTGGCGCCTGATCGCCAGGTAGCTCCGCTACCAATGTCAGATTGACACTGGTAGCTTGTTCACTTCCAATCCTAATCCCAGTTGGAACCCTGTCCAGCACTGCAAACTCCTGTTTTTGCCCAATGCGAAGCCACGACCTGCAATCAGTCCAACGCACCCACAGCTGGCCACAGCTGTATCCGCTAAGCGTCACTGATAGCGCTATTGCTCAAGCTAATCCCTCCCTCCAGCCCAGAGGCTGCGGCAACAACTGGTTACTGGAAGAGCCCCCTGGTTCCATGAGGGAATGACCTCAAGCACATGTGAACTGGCCTGGCTTTCACAATCTGTATATATATATAATATGTATGTATGGGCATGGCTATTCACCAAGATCAGGGAATCACGGATGGCGGAATGGCGCCGAGGTGAGTGGCGCCGAGGTGGTGCATCGAGGCAACTGCTACGATGTGATCTACAACGAGTCTGGAGGGCCGAAGAATATGGGCCAGCTGCTTGTGAGGCCGATACAGTACGTGGGGTTTTCCAATCCCCTAAAGGATCCAGGTTGGGGGTGGTTGAAACATGCTGAAACTGGAAAAGATACAAACCTCACATGAGAATTATGAGAATTATGAGAATTATGAGAATTATGATTTGCTTACATGCCATGATCCCAAGTATTTCCATCCGTACAAAGGGCTCCAAGGGCTCCATCCGTACTTCTATCTGCTTTTGTCGAAAATCGGACTACACAACCTTGGATCGACCTCCAGGGAAAGTCCATTGATCATTTATCTGTATATTTGGTGCTCATCATTGTGCGAAGATGTGGATATCAGATGATATCAGATATCCATAGATATCCCCATATGGCCCATATCCCTTTGAAATGGCCCTGCAAAAAAATCAGGCCTCATGGCCCTGCTGAAGCCAGTGCCTTCGTTGCATCTGGTGTAAAATCTGCGGTGTTTTTCAGCATCAAAGCTGTTAAACTGTGGTTTTTTGTGGCATCTTTGAAGGCGATGTCGCAGATTGTTGCTTGGCCGCAACGACCTTTGCTCTTCGTCTGGGATCTGGCTGGATCTGGCTGGATCTGGCTGGATCTGGTGGCAACTTGAGGTTTAGATCATGTGAATCGAATGGCGAACAAAGTGATCAAGAACGACATCGTCGTCACGCTGGACTGCTCTGACTTGGTGTACCTTGGTGTCACAAAGGTTGTCTATTCGCGTCTTGCTGGTTTTGCTGAGTTTGTGGTGGATACGTGAGCAAATTCTGAGGCCTTTTTTGCCACGAAGATCTGTTTTGGGAAAGAGTGGACTTTCAAATGCTGCAACTTTGCAGCTGTGATAAATCAGGTGCTTTGCGAACAGGTAAACAAATCAAACCACCTGAAATGTCTAGCCTTTGCATTTTGGCAATTTCGATTTCCAATCATCCCATACAATGTGGAATCCGAAATAGCGAAGCATAAGCATCCCCGATGTTCAACCACAATAAGGGGCTATGACAAATCATCTCAGTACCACGGGTACATCCAATTTCACAAAACCACGGGATGGTTTATTATCTCGTATCCTCTAGTTATTTAACACTTTGCTATAGTATAGATGGCCCATAGAACTAGATGATTTTAGCGCTTTCAAAACTGGAGATTTTCATAGATTTTCCATAGCTACGTTCTTTTTTTTCCAGAGGCTTATGAAAAGCTATGAAAAAAATGGCAGAACTAGATGAAAACCATGATGATATACTTCTTTTGAACATGTATCCTCTGTATCCTCCAGATCCTCCAGAATTCTCCAGATGTCTCGACCCAACGATCCGGAGCCGGGGGTTTCCTGGGGAAATTCAGGTGGCCGTCGATCTGGTCCTGCCGTAGCTTCTTACCCGTGATCCAAGAGCGTCTGCCCTCGCGGGAGCGGCAAAAATCAGATCATGGTGGAAATGGTGGAAATTGGACCACGGATCATGACGATCTCCGGAACATTACCCTCTGGTAAACTAACATAACTATGGAAAATCGCCATTTTTAATGGGAAAATCCACTATAAATCACCATTTTCAATAGCTATGTTAAATTACCAGATGGTATTTTGGGATTATAAAAAGACATGATGGGATTACACAATATAGACAACAAATAGCATAAATATCTGATTATTATGGGATTATACTAATTGATACATTTTTATACACAACAATAGTGGGATTATTAAAAAAATAGATGGAATTATACCAATTGTGGATAATTGTATATACATGATTATAGACAACAATCTTGCATTATTAGACACAACAATAGTGGGATTGACCAACTATCAAGAACTGTAATGAAATGAAACCTCACTAATGCCGTTCATAGCCATGGATAGAAATACATAGTGGGATTATCCACAGTTGTTTCTCAAGCATCATGGGATTGTAGCAAAATTACTATGGGCATGTCATCAAGAATCATGGGATCATCAAACCAGCGGTAGAAACCAACTCCAGCGTTGCCTGGTCCAACTCCAGGAGTTGCGGGAAAGAACCCAAGCCTTTGCCATCGTGCAACGCGATTCCTTTTGGATGCGTTCTGTGGTCTTCCCGCCACGTAAACGTTGCGATTCAAAGTGATTCAAACGATGGAAACAGCGAAACAGCATGGAAGATCTCAGAGATCTCGACAGGTTGACACAGTGCTGTTAATGACCCAGCCTGAGACCATTCCAATCTTTGCCAAGGAGCCATACCAGACATCCACTGAGACACATTGAGATGTTTGCCCAGAGGGTACGAATTTTGACAGTATATATATGTGTATATATATACATAATCTATCATTGGTTTTATTAATGTGGGGCATTCAGTGAGATAGAAGACTGATTGTGTCAACATTTCATAGCATTTCTGGATGCTCAATGACTTGAAAGTTTGTTTACGTTTGTTTTCCTTGTACGATTGGCCATTCGAAGCAAGCTTCATAAAAATCAGGACACTGCAGAGGCATCCGCACGGCTGGCCGCGCGTTTCAGTCCGGCATGAGGGGATCTCCATCGATCTCCATCGATCCAGCGTTGATGAACTTGGGTCCCCTGAATTCATGGGCAGAATTTCGCTGCATGTGGCGACACAAATCGGTTGTGGCCGGATTTTGTGGTGGTGGCCTTGCCACTCCCAAAAGTCATAGGATTTTCCAGGAAAGTGGGTGTAGCTCAAATGAAACAAGCAGCTTGGATGGTTTCACAAAGTTTGGATACCAAACGCAAAACATGCCACCAAATGACCTCTTAGTGAGATCAACAACTCTGCAGTATGTTGAGCCACCATTCTTTGAGCCACCCCTGATGATGTACAGCTGATGTATAGCTGGTCATGGTTGGGCTTCTGCCAAGTGCGAATCGATCCGGTACTCGGGGGAGCTAGCTATCTCTAGCGGAGGTTCAGAGACACGCGCAGAGCCGGACCCAGGCTTTGCTTCGCGTTCTGGACCGCAGCTTTTTAGTTTCCTGGAGACAACTGCAACTGGGGAAATAGATGAAAACAATTGCCCCTTTTGTTATTTTTTTCAGTGGTATATGAGATATCTTTTGATGATTCTAGTGACTTTTCCTGCTGACATGGACTTTTCGAGCGGATTCTTGGTGCAGAGGCTGACTTGGCAGCGTTTTGGCTTCAGTGCTTTACAGCCCAGCTGTGCCGGATATCAGTGCATGATTGGTGGCAAAATTCCAATGATTTGGCTAACCACTAATGATACTAAGACCCAATAGTACACCCAATAGTACACCAATAGTACACCGATCCAGATTGTGTTTTGTTTATATAGTAATTCTTCACTTTCAGCATCTTCAATAGATCGAATAGTGGTGTCCTTGAAAGCACTTTCAGCACCATTGGCGATGTCAAAGACATTGTGCCAATGTGGGCCAAACGTTTGCTGCCCTCATCTTTGAGCCGTTTCGTTAAAAGATCCTTGGATGCTGTGAACCTGGAGAACTCTCGGATAGTTATTGATGATTTATTGATTATTTGATACTTGGATGATTATCGATTGGATAATTCAGATTGTGCATTTTGACAAAATGATTTCCTGTATCTAGCAGTGCGATCCGATGCTGGTGTTGTCTAGGAAGATCTTCTCAAACCTCTGATTTACTGAGAACCGAATGTGGATGAGAGTGATGCCTCCAAAGTTCCTTGGCCTTTTAGAGATGCAGTCGGCTCAAATGAGCCTCGTTTTCATCATTCGGCGCTGAATGTGCCTGAGTTTCCCTGTCGATCAAGTCACAGTTTCCAGATGTTTTCATACTGAACATGTACCAAACTCCACATTTCTTCCCTTCAACATCTACATCATCTACCTAAAATGTCCTGAAATGACAGATTTGACTCTTTGACCCTGAAAAGTCTGTGCCAGAAACCAGAAAAACTCCCAAGGCCCCTGAGACTTCCACAGCTGTTCCGGAGCCGGAAGTACCGAGAGCCAGATCTCTGACTCCGAGAGCCAGGTGCGGGTTGTGGATGCTATGGATCAATGGATTGGTTTGTGGGAAAATTTAATGGGAAAATCTATGAAAATCTATGGTTTCCTGTAAATTTTCCCCTAAACCAATCCATTGAATGGATGGTGGGAACTTTACAATCCTCCAGGAAATCGGTGCATAATTGGGTCAGCTTCCAGAAATAGTTTGGGACTTTGGGTGATCGTTTTGGGGAAATCCCTGTGAAAACGCTTGTGGCTGGTGGATACTTTGGGAAATGATGGATGTAACCGAAGGAAGGAGTCATCAATCATGAATATTGGGGAAAGATACGCTTCATCTGCCATTTGCCCTTCATGGTTTCAGGTCGTTCGGCCAGGAATTTTAGGTGGTTTTAGTGTTGACCCAGACCCACTTAAAATCCAGCATGTTCCATTGCCAGGGTCGTTTTAGTTCAGCTACTCAGATCCAGGATGAAGTCGGTTTCCCATTCACGTTGTGAGGCGGAATGACGCATCTCCGGGTTTCTTGGTTTGCAAAACAATCAGCCAGACAACTTGCAATTGAAGTGCACAGAAAAACTGCTACCGTCAGAGACGGTCATGCACGCATCAAGCACAGCGATTTGCCCATCAACTATTGTCATTGAAGCATCACAGATATGAAATATATTTATATATGATAGAATCGCACATCATCTCACTGATAATAAGAATCAAAAAGGCGAAGTCAACCATGAAAACATGTTGTGGGTTTGAACATCAAGGCAGTTCAGCCACGCTAAGGTGGGAGAGGGCAAGGTGACACCGTTCTGACCTTAGGAATGTCAACTCGGCCAGCTTTGGAAGTGGAAGATGGATGAAGAACGATGAAGATGGATGAAGTTCTTGGTAAGTTCTGAGAATCTTGAAATATTTTGAACGTTTGGAGCTGAGCCCAAGAATCACCAAAATGTCTAACTTCAGTCTCTAAGTCCCAAGTCTCCAAGAGGGGAAAGCCGAGGATCAAAGACGTGCCCCAGCGGCATGTCCCAGAGCCTTGGCCAACGACGAAGATTTGGGTCACAGATCCCCAAATTGGGAGTCTAAGACTCGCCAGATGAAGATGCCAACTGGAGGTACTTCACAGACACGTCAGGCCCAGCTTGAATTTTAACCGGGGACAGGAATGAGATCTATAGAATCTATAGATCTGAATCATTCTGGATCCTTCTGAGGAGCATTCAAGATGATCAGCTTCAAGACGCCCTGTGCGTGTCTGGTGGCCCAGTGCTGGACACCGGCCAAGTTCCCATTTGTTTCATGAGGGTTCTGTTTTGGAACACTACAACCAGCAGAAAAGATGGGAGGAATTTGGAAAAAGACGATGTTTTCTTTGGTCACTGGATTTGCTTTAAGCATTGTTTTTTCACAGGAAACCAACATATTTCATGGGGAAAAGCCATGGTTTCCTGTAGATTTTCCCAGGCCTCCATTGATGTTAGGGGCTGCCTGTGGAAAGGCGAAGCTTGCGATCCTTTCCAAGAGGTGACTGGAAGGTGGGGTGGGTGGGTTAGTAGGGATATCATGGGGATATGGTGGGGTGTATAATGGGAATGTATACAGAATACACTGAGATCACCCATATTATCCAAACTTTTCGAGCGTCTACCATCTGGTTATGACTAACATAGCCATGGAAAATCACCATTTTTAATAGGTAAACCATCTATCAATGGGCCATTTTCCATGGCTATGTTAAATAACCAGAGGGTAAATAAATGACGACATCTTTTTTTTCTCATTCAGTGATGCTTCAACCAGGGCCCCCCGATGTTTTGTTGCAGGCGGCTGCCTACTGCCTTGCCCACCTTCGGGAGGTTCCCCTCCTTTTGGAGAACCTTTCGAATTCGCCGTGACAGGAGTTGGGTATACATCACATATCCAGAGCCGAAATTTTCTATGCCAAGTTTTTGGGCCACATATCTGTTAAGCCATGTTAAAGACACCAAAATTGGAGCTTTCTATTTGGCTTCATCACATTGCATTGTCTGAGCATGAATTGCTGGTCATGGAGGTCAGAGTCATCCAAGACTCTTCCGACCTTTGGCAGGCCATGATCAAATTAAGCTGGACACGTGAAGATGAATGACATTCTTAACTGTAAGATACCATTTAGTTCAGCATTTCTCGGCCTTTGGGCCTCTGGAGGGCTTCCAACTCTCAGACGATTCACCAAATCTCTCAATCATTGGCTTCTTAGTCCTACAATGACATAGACATATAGACAAGGTTAGTTGGAAATTGGGCTGTCCTATGTTGTTTGAGGGAAAAACATGTGTACCAATTGTTTGATACCCTGTTTTCATCATATCATCTTCCATTTATCAATCCACCCATCTTTGGCAATTTAGAACGCTAACCTTTCAGCTGAGAACCAGTCGAAGTCGATGGACCCCCGAAGATTCCACCTCCTCGTGAACCTGGTGAACCTGGTGAAACTGGTGAACCCGTTCCTTTTCTCGTTGCATTTTCTTGATAGGTCAATCTTGGACGGCTAATTTAATCCTTTAGTCTTTTGGCATCAATGGGATTATCTACTAACCAGCTAAGAATTTCATTTTTTTGCAGAGTATCATGGTATCCAAGATTGGCCATGGTAGGTCCGCCTCCGCCTCTTCCTTACAACGCAGTGGGAGTGCACGGTCGCTGTCACCGCGTCGGCCACGGGAAGATGCAGTCGGGTGCCCCCAGGTGCCATCAAAATGGTGGACTGGGGATGGTTTTGGCAGCCAGGATTTACCACATTAGTTGGGAATTGACAGGTTGTTTAGCACGAAGTTTGAAGGGGGCCAGCTTCTTTGGAGGACTTACAAACCAGGATTATGTAACCACTTGTCAAGCAATATGTATGTGTTGTTTTTAGTGGAGGAAGGTCATATTTTTCGAGTCCAAGATGGATTTGTGGTGTTCCCACTTTGGTTGTTCAAGGCCCAAACTGACACAGGGGTTCTTACATCTCAGCTCGGCTTTATATAGCTTCAAACATCATATTTGGATAGTGAAACAGCAATAATTCCTCAAACGCATTGACATTTATTTTATATGATCTATCTATCATATTTTACAACATTTTGTACCCATATTCTATGATATACCACATTCAAGCAGCATGGATTGCCATTCTTTTCCTCAGTGAATACTCTGAGGGACCTCATTTTTCTGAGTGAGAATGAAGGGCAGGATATGTCAATCTACATACTCTATGTATATACTATGTAACACAAATGTATGTTATACCCATTTTTTTGAGAACCACAAGTTGTCTAAGTTTAGCCGAGGAGGTCCGGGAGCCCGTGGCCTGCGACTGGAAGAGCCTCTACAGCTTGGTAGGAAGTCTGGGGCTCCTCCAAAGCCAGGCCTGGGACCCTGGGAGCTGACAAATAGGAGATCCCAAGCGATGGAAAAACGATGGGAAACGATGGTTAGATATACGTACAAGATGATACATATCACAAACGCATTATATATATATATGGCACCTAAGTTCGAATGTGTGTACCTGAATCTTGCTTGCTCAAGTAAATGGTTGGTTGGATCGAAGGTGTTTGGGGCTTGGTGACTGTGGCCAACGAGGTTTCCAGATTTGTCTCATGCCCTTTCCACTGCTCTTCGTCTTGTCTTCCTTGGGCCCTCCTTGGTTTTGTGGCTGGTGTGGTTTCCTCTTGGATTTTGGTTGGATTTGGTGTCCTGGTTTGGATTTTCCGTGCCGAAATCTTCAAAGCCTCGGTTCCACCGGCTTCCAGAGCTCTTGCTCGATCAAGGCTGGGTCGCTACCTTGAATGAGTTGCCCTTTCTCCGCCCTGGAATTGCGTGATTTGATTTCCAAGCTTGAGGTTCTTGAAAGGTGGCAGAGACGGGAGGAGGGTCAAGGAGCACAAGCTTCTGACCGAGGCAGAGAAGTGATCCCAAGGCACGCGCCGTTGCTGCCAGGTTGCCAGTCAACAAGACCGAACTTCCTGCAATTCCTCAGATTGCTTGCCTTTGGGAGCTGGAGGAGGACACTGGACCTGCTTTTGTAGGTGATACCAAGATCGAAGTTGAATCGGGCCCAGGACCAGTACAAAGGGAAGCCTTGCAGAGAACCCACCTTGCATACTCATCTGGTTTGGTGTCGAGTTGCTCTTGAGATCTTTTCTGAACGGATCACTCCTGAGGCAGATCATCCTGAGTCCAAGCATTTCACTGTGTTGCGTGCTTGTGGTCTTTGAGGTCCTGTCAGGTTTGCGTCCAAGGATCATTTCTGGGCACTCCGCCGCCAGACTTTTGATGAGGGGTTGATTGCGGCTGGATTTCCCACCGAATCTGAACTGCAGGTCGGACAGTGGACTTGCCTAGAAGTGAAGGTTTGGAGAGCCAGCTGATCAATGAAGTGTGCACTTCGGCATCTTGGGAATGCAGCTCTGTGTGGACTTTCCGTGTTAACTCTCACATAAATATCCTGGAGTTGTCTGCTGTCGTGAGACTAGTTGCAGGTCTTGTTAAGAAAGGGAAGTCCCTCCGTCTGATCATTCTTGTGGACCCCAATTTGGTGAAATGTGCCAGTGCAAAAGGACGGTCGTCATCACGGGCCCTGTCAAGTATCCTTTCTAGACTTGCTGCTCTTTGCGTGGCTGGTTGGATTTCTAACTGGTCTCGTTTGGTGCTGCTTTGTTTGGGTCCTTCTGTTCTCTGTCTCTGTGATCGCTCCGTTTTTCGAGCTCCTCGTTTTCCGGCTGGCCTGTCTTCTGGTGTTGTCTTCACCGAGGCAGCAGGCCAGGGCTCTTCTATGGACTTTGATTCACTTTGGGCTTTGCAGGGGAAGGGCCTTAGGTGCTGCGTTGTTTGGGTCCTTTTGTTCCCCGCCTGTGATCGCTCCGTTTTTCGAGCTCCTCGTTTTCCGGCTGGCCTATCTTCTGCTGTTGTCTTCGCCGAGGCAGCAGGCCAGGGCTCTTCGATGGATTTTGATTCCACTTTGGGCTTCCCAGGGGAAGGGCCTCAGGTGTACCTCCTTGGCACAGTCACCCAGGTTAGGTTGGTAGGACGCCTCCTTGCCGTTTTGACTTGTGGCAGCCATGGCGTACTCCTACCACGGAACTCTTGGAGACAGGCTACGACAGGGACAGAGAAGTGCAGGCCAGAAGGCTTGTGCTGACGGTGACAAATCAGCATAGGGAGTCTCCCGGAAGCCAGTTTGAATCTTGGGTGCGATCTTTGGGTTTTTCATTGGATGATATTTTGGCAAACCACCAGCAGCAAATTGATGATCTCAACAGTTTATTGGTTAGGTATGGAAGGTGCCTGTATTCAAGTGGAAGGCCGTACAACCACTTTGCGGAAACCATCAATGCAGTCTCTTCGAGGAAGCCTGCCATTCGTCGCATGTTGCAGGAATCTTGGAATTTGGCATTTGCATGGATGCGGGATGAACCGAATGCCCACCACGTAGCAATGCCATGGCAAATCCTTTTGAGTTGCATTACTACTTGTCTCATTTGGGGTTTGGTTGGACATGGCAGGCATGTTCGCTTTAACATGGGGTGCTCTCCTTCGCGTCGGTGAATTTCTGAATGCTACAAGGAAAGACCTTTTGCTGCCATGTGATACGAATTTTACAAATTCTTTTGTATTGCTTTCTCTGAAGGAACCTAGGACAAGGTGGTGGGGGTGCCGGATGAGGATGAGAATGATGATGATGATGATGATGATGTTGTTGATGACGATGATGAAGATGATGCTGATGCTGGTGCTGGTGGTGGTGCTGGTGTGGATGATGATGATGATGATGATGATGATGATGGGGATGAGAATGATGATGGTGATGCTGATGATGATGATGGTGGTGACGGTGCTGGTGCTGGTGCTGGACGAGGATGAGGATGAGGATGAGGATGAGGATGATGATGATGTTGATGATGATGATGATCATGATGATGATGATGATGGTGCAGGATGATGATGATGACGATGATGATGATGATGATGATGCTGATGATGGTGGTGGTGGTGATGGTGCTGGTGCTGGATGAGGATGAGAACGAGGATGATGATGAGGATGATGAAGATGGTGATGATGATGATGATGGTGCTGGTGCTGGATGAGGATGAGGATGAGGATGAGGATGAGGATGAGGATGATGATTGTGAATTATGGTCATTATTTTGATTCTGTTCATTATGACTTTGATGTTGGCAATGGTGATGATGATGATTATTACTATCATTTTGATAATGGTGATGGTGATGATGATGCTGTGTAAATTTCAACGGACATATTTTGGGGGTTGAGCAGGGGTTTGCAAAGCCGCGAAGTTGTACTGTATTTATGCTGCACAATTATGTGACCCTTATGTGACACGGCAGCTGGAGATTTCCTTGAAAAGTTTTCTTGATTGGCCACTCCGGACCAGGACGCAAATGCGCCCCGAGCTGCCAATTGAGCTTCCGATACCCGAGCCCAAAGAGGAAGCGGATCTTCTGGTCGTTGACTTTTCTGAGGTGGAGGTCATGGAAAAGCTGGGCCAGGGGGGCCTCGCAATTGTGCACCGTGCAAAGTTCCAGGGCACAGTGGGAGCAGTAAAGCTATGTAGAGATCAAGGCTTCCTCACAAGTGGGCAAATGGAGATGGACCGGAATGCAGTACAGGAAGAGGCAATGCTACTGCATCGTCTTAAACATCCGCTGCTGGTGGAGGTGGTGGCTATCATCCAGAAGCAAGGCCAAGTGAGCGGAGTTCTGCTGGAGCTCTTGGGCCTCACCTTATATGACGAAGCGAACGCACCAGGCTTTCAGCCACAAAATTTGAAGCAAGCCTTGGCAGATGTCACGACAGGACTTGAACACCTTCACAAAGCCCTTGTGGCTCACAATGACATCAAGGCCCACAACATGGCCAGCAGCCACAGAGGCTTCAGAACACCAGGAGGCCACCACCAACCTGAAACCGGGCCGTGTGCAGCATTGGCCCCCGGAGGTTTGCAAGAACCAACCCCACGCCCCCCTCCGGTCTGATTGTTTTGCTTTGGGCAAAACTTTTGGAGAATTAGGGCGCTTCCGAGACTGAAGTCACTGCCATGATCGATGATGATGAATTTTGGTCATTATTTTGATTCTGTTCATTATGACTTTGATGTTGGCAATGGTGATGATGATGATGATGATGATCATCATCACTATCATTTTGATAATGGTGATGGTGATGATGATGCTGTGTAAATTTCAAGGTTCCCTGCAGCTCGTCATCAATGTGCTAAACTTGATATCCTTGACCTGGTGAGAGTGGTACATATGGCTTTTTCTCAACTTCAGCCCCTACAAAAGCTCTGGCCTATATCTGGCCAAACTTTGCGACGGCGTTTTAGACAAGTCTTGGCTGAAGTTGGAACCCATCAAAATGTTACCCTCAACAAGGTTTGGACCTAGGATCTTTGAGACCTGCCGAAGCCACATGGATTATTCAGGTTACAGAAGAGGCAGACTTCTGTAGAAGAAGAGGTCGGTGGATCAATGCGAGAGTTGCGGAAATATATCTACAGGAGGTGGCAGCCTTCCAATTTCTCTGAGTTCTTCCTTTGGACTGCCGGCGCAAAGTGTTTGCTTTGTGTGTATTTTTTCTTCAGACTTTTACAATGCGCCGAGGAATTTTGGACTGCCAACATTCCAACGTCAGTTTGGTATATTTTGTGGAAGAGACAAGATACCAGGAAATGATGGGATGAATGGGTGCCCTTCGACTTCGAGTTATCCTTTTTGACCAAAGTCGTCGAAGGTTATGTCACTTCACTCACGTAGTGCAAGCCGAGCAAGAGGAAAAGGAGAGCACTTGAGATCTTATGTATATGGGAAACCTAATAATCAACCCACCATTTGGGGATAGTTTGAATCCCAACCATAAAGAGGGTGAGGGAATAGGGATGGTTTATGGCAGCCAGGGCTTACGGGTTTACCACAGTAGATGAAACTTATATGAACATCAACCTATACCAGTATACATGAGTTTTATTTTTGAAAGTTGTTGGTTGAATTTGGATGTGATTCGTGTGAAATTTGACATGGAATTCATACATGTTCGCTCTGGCCCTGCAATGTGCAGAACGTGCACCCTTTTTCCACGACGTTTGCAGGTATTGCGCAAACTGAGAGACGATCAGGAGGACTTGCTGATGAAACTGGAACTGTCCGATGATTTCTCACACACTGTGGTAGCATTTTCAGATCAAGTCTTCCCCATTTCAGCCTGCACTTTCCAATTGGCCAAACTCGCCATTTTGGCAGGAACAACTCCTCCTACAAGGGTCCTCACAAACAACTGCATCTTCACCACTCAGTGTGAACAGCGGTTGTGGCTATCAAACAAAGTCCCTTGGCATTATGCAATGATCATGGGATTAGATGATTTTGGCAGCGAATCACTTGTGACAACATCACAGTTTTCTTGCCTCTGACCAGTGCTGTACAATGAACTTATCAATTTTGATCTAGACATGGTATTCTAAGGGCACTTTGGGTCCATGCCCAGATGCATTCCACCGATTGACGGGGAGTCACCGTAGAATCTTGAGGAAAGATGAGAAAGAGATGCTGGAGCAAAAGGAAGCTCCATCACCTCGAGGTGGGACCGCCTCGAAAGGTGTAGATGGCATCATGGAGATGGCTAATATGCACTATGAATAGTGGTGAATCATGGCTAATCACCACTGGTTTACATTTTCTTTATCCGATTTATGTTCATGTTGCTACAGGTTTTAGGTCGATCAACTTTGTGAGGCAGAAAAATTGCAGGTTTTGTTTGGTTTTCCACTCTTTGATCAGTGATTCAAGGAACAATCTAGAAGAAAACCTCTATAATGTGCTATCAATAATAGTTTGATGGTCAGAAACTGGGTTTTCTTCCAAAAATATCTCTTCACCGATCTTCAACCAATCCATTGACTCAGATATTCTCGAGGCGCACGGCAACGCAGTGCTCCGCGGGAGCGCAGCGCCCCAGCGTCCGCGCGGGCAAGCAGAGCGGCTGTGAAGGTGGCGCCGGAGACGAGCCCCGCGAACTCCGAAGCGAAGAAATCGGTGAGGCCCGAGCGATGGATGGGTGTTACCCTCTGGTAAACTAACATAGCTATTGAAAATGACAATTTATAGTGGATTTTCCAATTGAAAATTGTGATTTTCCATAGTTATGTTAGTTTACCAGAGTGTACCCAAATAGATCCAAATGGTAGTTGTTTATTGGCATCGGGTTTGTCAAATAAGATCAAACTATATCAAATGGGTATGAGAACTTTTTTATGTCTCTATTGGAAATTACTAGGAGTTAAGTGGGATTGGAATTGGTCATGGGTTATTGTGTTTGTGGGTATAGGTCAAGAGTTTGTTGTACTGGATAGCAAATACTGACCATAGGTATGGCCCAAGCATTCTTTCCACATTCACCCGGTTTGGGTGTGAGTCGAAATTTAAGGAGGCACCAGGGTAACTGAGTGAGAATGGTTTCACATCAACTGTAAGAAACTCCAAGAACATGGCTTTGGAAGAAGACTCTGCTTGTGGGATATGGGTGTGTCTGAGAAGGCTGGATGTACCCCAATTCATGGCCATATTTATCATATGTTCATATTGGGATGATGATTGCCCAGTGGATGGGAATGATGGAACAAAAGCTAGACAGTCAATGTGAGTCATCATTTTCCCAACATGGAAAAATATATCCGGATTAATATACCCTCTGGTAATTTAACATAGCTATTGAAAATGGTCCATTTATAGTTGATTTACCTATTAAAGATGATGATTATCCAGTTCGCCATGTTAGTTCACCAGAGGGTAACCTGATGGAATGACAGAAAAAGTTGGGAAGATATCTGATGGAATGTGTTTTCCGAAGATTTCTCTGGAATTAGTTTTAAATCTTGGATTCATTTTCCCAACAGGCCCAAAAGCGCAGCTCCAAAAAGCCGCGAGCCTGTGCCATCCCAGGCGAGAAGATGTAGATGGCGAGAAGCAGTGCTATTCATCTCCCCCCAAAAGAGGGATAAATATTATATATACACAACATATATATATATATATACACATTATATATGTGTATATATATTATATATATATGACATTTTGGGATTAAGTGATATATCATCATAGGGATTCCAACTATTATATCCTGAGTATCCCTAATCCCACATGTGACCAAGAATTTCACGCCAGGCTCCAAAGGCCAAAGCCAAGGCGAAAGGAAAGAGCAAGGCCAAGGCGAAGGCCAAGGCGAAGCCGTCCGAGGACAACGAGGAGCCGGGCGAAGGACGACCTTTCTTGACTTGTGTATTAGGAGCTATTAAAAACAGGATACATTACTATAAATTACTATATATATATGATATTTTACTTTTCCTATTTGATGTTTTTGATGTTTTATTATTTGATGTATCTTTCTGCGGTTCGGTTGAAACACCAATTCTCCAGAAAGGTGTTGCCGGATCTCCCCAGGAGCCCGTGGAGTCTCCCACAGCCAAGTTGGCGCACCAGATCATGTGGAGCCCGGAAGGCCGGAGGGTTGGAATGGTACCTGGAGGGTTCAGCACCTGTTTTTGCTGATTTTTTGGGAGTTGGAATGGTACCTTGAAGTATCGAAACTGAGTTTTTCACCTGTTTTTTTTTTCAGAAGTTGGGTGGCAAATGGTTGATCCGTTCACAGCATTCTTCCTGGCTATGGGGATGTCCTGAAATGGGGATACCTCTAAATTATCCATTTGTAGATGGGTTTTCCATTATAAAGCAACCAATCTTGGGGGTACCCTCCATTTTAGGGGCTCCCCCATATTACCACTCTGATACCATGACACGTCACACACTGCAACGCTGTTGGAGGTGATGAGATCCCACTCCAGATGCTTGGTTGAAGTATGGATCTAAAGCCGTTTTTTTTTTGGTTGCCAAATCTTACCCTCTGGTTATTTAACATAGCCATGGGAAATGGCCCATTTATAGATGGTTTACCTATGAAAAATGGTGATTTTCCATGGCTATGTTAAATATATAACCAGATGGTAAATCAATTTTTACTATTAAGATAATCTATAGACTATAGATGATACGAGAATATCAGATGATATAAGTTAGAATCTCTTAAATGTGATGATCTATCTAGATAATCCAATAAGATTCTATTAAGATACTAGAAGATCAATTGGATTATCCGATATGAGATTGTTTTAAACCCAATATGTGATCTCCTACATAATCAATACTCACACACGTGTGGAGGTCCTTTATACCATCCCATTCCATTTCAGATGTCTCCGACTTTTTTTTTCCCGAGGAGTTGCCAAAAGGTGGAGGAGCTTCTCCAACATCTCCACAGTGTGGCGAATCCCTTGTGTCAACACTTTCGCCTCAGGCGGGTGAAGGATGGTGGGAAACCATGGTGATCCAGACAAATTGATGGTGGGAAACCATGGTCAGCCAACAGTTGAGAGGCTTTGTAATGGGGAAGCAACCAACAGGTGATAGGAGTTGTTTTCGTTGGAAAATCCGGAGACGCCCCAAGATGCGATGTTTGAACTTTGATGACTATTGGTAGCTGGAAATCCAGCATGGCGATTTTGCGGATCCTCTATAAATGAAGGTTTTTAGATGGAAGATCCTCTATAAATGAGGCATTTTCCATTGGCACCTTTGATTACTAGAGGGTAGATCAAAGTTCCCTTCTGAAAATGGAAGAGTTGATAGCATCTCAAAGATGCCCGTTGCCATTTTTGACAGAAGGGAACGGATCTCAGAACTGGCACAAGCCTGCTTGGACAGGTACGATTTTCTGCTTGAGCAACTCGGCAGATTGCGGCTCTGCAATTCCTCAAATGCTGGGTGCGCTAAGGATCTACCGTTGATCTCTGCATCATGCCTATCCCTACAATGGTTGGTCCGTCAGGACAATAGCAATGATACTGGATCTACATCAGGACTGTGTTTGAAAAACAACCTGGTTGATTCATAGGCGGCCTCCAAAAAAAGAGTGAACTTTCCAGCTGAAAATGCTCCCCTCTCACACCAATCAATTGATCAATTGGGTATTTCAGTATTTCAAACAAACTGTTTTTTTTCCTTTTGAGATGGTGGAAAATCCACAGGCTTTGCATAAATTCGATAGTTTACTGATTTACAACATCACTTTGCTAATGTTTACTGATTTGCTCATTTACATCATCTAAATCATCAGATGCTGAATTTTCAGGTGATAAACTCACCCAACCCCCCCATAAAAACCGTGGGAGTCGGATGCCCCGAGGCAACACTGCCAGGAAAGGAAGGCGGGTGTAGCCCGGCGCGCACCGAAGGTGGTGAACGGCGAGGAACGACGCTTGGGAGAAGTGGGGTGGTGGTGGCCATGGGGTGGTGAGATTGGGGTAAACATACCAAAAATGGTGGAAAACCCATGGTTTCCCTGGAAAAACTGAAGTGCAAATGATGTGAGTTTCCACATTTTTTGGTTGGTTTACAGTTACGGCAGGCTAAAGTCCTCCATTATTTGACTCTTGAAACATCGGATCACTTGTGAATCATTGGAATAAGTAGTAAACTCTGTGGGATGGTGGACCCATCTAAGGGAGCTGCTAGTTTTTGGTGCTTGTCCCTCTCATAGGAACATGGCTTTAGATAATCCCCATTTGTCTCGGTGAAAGTACAATTTTTCTTGGTTTCATGGTCAGGTTTAAGGAGAATTCTCGGGCTGGGTGAAACTGATGTCCTACCAAAGAATGAACCCAGAGCTGAATTTCCTCAACGTCATGTGTGATGGAGATATCATATCTGCGGAGAAGAGATCCAAGCCGTTTTCCCTCTGAAAAAAAGCAGGTGAAGGCATCCATTCTTTTCAACGCATCCAGAAAGTACCAGATGTTTTCCTGAAAAAGTATAATATATATATATATATCATACTATATGATACTATATGATTTCCTGTATATACTATGTATATATATATATATATCTGGGTGGTGGTTTGGAACATTTTTTTATCTTTCCATTCAGTTGGGAATGTCATTTCATCCCAACTGACGAGTTGTCCATCATTTTTCAGAGGGGTAGGTTGAAACCACCAACCAGATATATTGGAGGTACAGTTGAGGTCATCTGGCTGCAGAAAAATTGCCAGCTGGATCCCGTGGACTCGTGGACCTGAGGCTACCTGACAACTGTGCGCCTGCGCCTGCGAAAGCATCCGGTCAAGGGCGATCCGCAGAAGGCCGAAATCACTGGGGAGAAGGATTAGGATGATCTGGGGTATGGGGGATATGATCATCATTTTTTGGGCTGCTTTTCAGATAGAACAGTATCTCATCATCTTTGTTATGTCATTATGTCATGTTTGAAAGTCATCTTTGAAAAAGTATGATGATACCCTCTGGTAATTTAACATAGCTATTGAAAATGGCCATTTATAGTTGATTTACCCATTAATAGCATGGTGATTTTCCATAGTTATGTGGCTGTTTACCAGAGGGTAATTGATCCAGAATGATCCAGATTCTGTAGATGCAGGAAGTTGTGAACTATGAGTATCCAATGGGGATAGAGTCTATCCTTAGTTTCTAGATCCTCGAAATCCTCGAATCAGTGGATTTGTTGAGGAATGTTTGGCTTGGAATCTTGGAATCTTAAACAGATAAACAAATGGTAGGACCTAATGATGACCTAATGATGATATTCAATGGATTGGTTTAAGGGAAAATCTACAGGAAACCATAGATTTTCCCATTAAATATGGGGTTTTCCTGTAAAATTTCCCTTAAACCAATCCATTGAGATATCTTCAACCTTGATGCCAGATCAGATTGGCCGTGTCTCCAGTGATGGACACAGGAATTCATCGGAAGAGGTGCCATGATGGCAGTGCTGCTGCACGAACTCGCACACCTGCGCTATATGAATCATGGTGCCTACCTCAGGTCGAACCAACTGGACGAAGCAACTGGACGAAGTTTGGAAACCAGAAATATATAGACTGATAGACACACACATATATATATATATATATGGTACTCCCCCCAAAAAACTCACATGTTCAGTGATTTTGCTAACCCTTCCACGGTATATGGATGTAGATATCTTCATTTACAGTGTATGTATATTTTTTCCAGCAATTTTTGGAAACTGCAGTTGGAGTGTTGGATCATGTTGACCATCCGCATCAGGACAGGAGTTCATGCTCTTGCTGAGAGTTCCTTGGAGTTCAATGGTTAAGTTGCAAAATCTTTGTAAAACAATGGCAAACACACCGTGGTGCTTACAGTGAAATCCCCCAAAGATAGAACAGCATTTCATCAGAAATCCGGAAAATTCCCTAAACCTCTAGAAATCCGGAAAATTCCCGTCCTCTCAGGAAATCTTCGCAGAGGCGAAAAAACGTGAGATCTTTGACCCGGAGCTGGTGAACGACCCTTTGGCTCCGACCGGAAATTCATGGGACAAAGTGTTGATATATATATATATATATCAGATGGATTCATAGTTTTTTTTTTTTTCCAAGAAATTTTTGTTTTGAAGAAATGAATAGCATTGATAACATCTGAAAAAGGTGAGATTTCTCAGATCTCCACATTTCAAGTGGAAATTCCTACAGGAACTGCCTTCCTGTCGACCTTGGGAAAATCTCATCTACCAGACAGGCACCTCATGGGGTCTAGGGACTTCCCACGGTGTTTCCCTGATTTTTCCATGGGGACTTGGCCTCCGAAAGTAGATTTTTTTCGGCAAGATGATCATCAGTTAAAATCCTCAGTTGAACAATCGGAATTTCGGGGCTAGCCTCTGGTAAACGTTTACAGTTTGCCAACAGTTAGCTATTGAACATGGCCCAGTGGAAATAGTTGATTTACCCATCAAAAAAGAATGGTGGATCTTTCCAGTTCGTTTAATGTGGCTGTTCACCAGACCGGGTACCCAATGTTCAGGGCAACTCAGCTTTTCGGCAGGCGGTGATATCGATGTTGAGAGTTTGATGAAGGTATTCGAACCTGACTCCAGCAGCTGTGCCACACCAAGGACGCATTGTTTGAGATGGTTTTTGACACTATTCTGATTGGTGGTTTGGAACATTTTTTATTTTTGCATTCAGTTGGGAATGTCATGATCCCAATTGACGAACTCCATCATTTTTCAGAGGGGTAGGTTGAAACCACCAACCAGATATTTTTGGGAGCGATGGATGTTGTTGATACTTGTGGGATGATTCCTCCAAACAACCATCCAAGTTGGTAGCTTCACCATCTCCGGTAAATGCCGCGGACAGGAACGCAAGCCCTGTTCGAGCACGGCCAACCAAGGTCCATTCCGAAGCTGGGTCAACATTTTGTTTGGGAAACCACAGAATGCTTGGATTACTAAGTAACCATCTAATATCGTCTGACTATATACTAAGTATCTGACTTTTGGATGCCTCACTTTGACCCCTAGCGATTTGAACAGATATTCAATCAGCCATTCCTGAATTGGGTACGGGTCGAAGCTATGGCCTCTGATTTCAGAGAAATATCTGGTTTGATGCGAAAAAAACATAGCCAACTGATTGCATTTTTTGTAGTGTTGAGGTTGAAGCCCACCCAATGTGTTGTTGTTGTTGTTGTTGTTGTTGCTGCACGTTGCTGCAATGGTTTTTGGATTCCAAGCGGCGCCCATATATCTCAATGTGGCTCCGAAATGAAATCATGCAGATGCTGCTTCTTGTTGGTTATTTCAGTTACCCTCTGGTTATTTAACATAGCCATGGTATAGATGGCCCATAGAAATAGATGGTTTACCTATTAAAAATGGGTGGATCTTTCCATGGCTATGTTAGTTAACATAACCAGATAGTATATATATATATACATACATAAGGTTTTGTCATTGATCTGGGGTCTCTGGAAATGGATTCTTGGGTCTTTCCAAATATTCTATATGTGGTGGAATTGAATTGCGGATTCCGTTGCGGAGGGATTCCGTTGCGGATTCCAAGTCCTCACCAGGTCGGACAGGTCGAGGCCGAAACGGCCGAAACGGCGTCCACGAAGGCGATGGAGAAAGGTCGTCTCCCACCACCACCGCAGTTCGGCGAGTTGGGGATCTCAGGATGGATCAAAGATGGTGATTTTCATGGGGAGAATGGTATATAGTTGTGATAGTTTAAGGTTATAGTTTTCTCTATTAAACTATAGATGGAGATAGCCAAGGATAAGCTGATAGTGGCTTTTTTGTGGCTTTTTTGTGGCTTTTTTGTGGCTATGGATCACCTAAGAAATATCTTGAAATACCTATAGAAAGGATGAAGATGTTTTTTTTACTACCAGCTATTTTTTGATGGGAACTACAGGGGTACTGGGTGACTCCTGCCGTTGAAAAAACATCACCCAGTGGGGGGATCATTTAGCACCAATTTGGCACTTCAAAATCGGCCCCATCAAGATCTGGACGAGGATATGGAAAATGGGACCCATTTTGTGTCCAAAATCCTGAATCCATGTTTTTTTTTGAGTTAAATATAGTTAAATAGTATCATCTCTAAGGCACTGAATCTTAGTTCCAGCTCACGACACCGCTGGCAGGCCTCGTTCTTCGGGTGCTTCTACCGCAACACCCAGTGGAAGAGACTCGCTGAATACGATGCCTTCACTGCCTTCACGGTCACCTGAACCCACTGAGGACGCTTGGATCAGCGGTGACCACCGAGAACTTGCGGTGTTGCTCCGTTGTTTGGGGACAAGGATTGCTATGGGATTGCTATGGGATTGCTATGGGAAGTGGATGGAAGTGGTTTGTTGGTTTCACTTTCTTTTCCAAGACATCTGAGGTAAAGGAGGCGGAAATTCTGGCCGAGACGGTTACGGATTTGGACGAAAGTCCTTCAAAGGCACTGGGCTTCGGGGATGCGGGGATGTTTGGGGTGCGGCTGAACTCAAAAAAGGCATCTGTGTCAGCAATGAAGCAAAATCTGACCAATTCTCCGGGTTTGAAACTGATGCCACTTGCCAATCATAAACAATCAAAACAGATCCTCAAGCAATATCATGTGGTAGACCCAATCAGAAATTTCCGATTTGGGGATGGTTTATATTCCCCTTGATGGTAAAATTGTTAATCGGGCTCGTTTTTATTGGGTTTACCACTTGAGTTGACCAAGATTTCACCCTGAGATGAGGCGAGGAAAAGCCGCATGCTGCGGCCGAAGAAGACCTGAGCTATGGTCCTTCAGTTGGAAAGGTCCCTCTTTAGGGCCAAAGCTCAGACGACTGCGTTGGCAGGAAATTCTTCCTGGGGGAATCCGTTGGTTTCTCAAAGTGCAAAACACACCAGCTACGCAGCTGTCTTTTTCTTTGAGCCACTTCCTTGTCACAGATAAATCTGGAGGCCTTGCAAAGAATGACTTGGTAACTTGGTGTATGGATCAAAATCACAAGCTCATTGGCGCCAAAAAGATCCAAAGGACCAAATTTTCGTCACTTTGAGAAACCATCTGTAAATTGCGCGGACCCTGGGGAGCTTTAACTCACCCCGTCCTGACTTGGCTTAGCGAAGTCCTTGACGCTATGGGTAAAAAGTATCATAGGAGGACATCACAAGGTGAGTTGTTTTTTTCTTTCTGTGGGTCATGAGTAACTGAGTAATCTCCCAGTGTTTTGGGCGATGTGTACCAAACAAGGAAACATCTGTTTCAATTTGCATGGTTGAACGCCAATACCGCACCTGTAAAAAAAAGTCGAACGCTTCAAGCTAAGATATTTTTGAAAGAAACCAAGTACCATGTGACAAAAATGTTTCAAAATGCATCAAAGTGCACGATTCCAACCTAACATCCAACACTAAAAGATCCAAAATATGTGGGGAAACCATGGGAAAGCAACGTTTTTTCACTGCGTGTGGGCTCAGCCGTCGCCCCCAACTGGGATCACCTGAGATGTTCCAGTAGCTTCCGGCAGGGGACTCAGTGCAGTGGGGATGAGTTGGGGATGAGTTGATATCAGATGCATCAGAATTGAACATCCGAATTATTCCGATTTTTTTAAATGAGTTCTATTCTATTCATCCACATTTTATCTGCCATCTCCTTCTTTGAAGCACATTTGATGCACGGTTTGTCGATAGCTCCTGATTTTGTGGAAAAGTTTCTTGTTTGGTGACATTCATGAATGAGATCAGGATTTTATAGAGGGCATAGAGATCATAGAGATGGGGAAGCCTTGTTTTCCTGAGATCTTGATCTTGAAGGTGTGACTTTGTACTCATGTTGGTTTATTTTATCTTATTTTGTTGTGTTTAGATTCCTTTTATTGTTGTTGATTAATTATTATAGTTAAATCTGTCTTTCTATTGGCTCTTGTTAGAATCAGAGTCAAAAGTCACCATAAAATTCCTGCAGCATTAAATCCATGCTGCAACATGGCAGCAACGCCTGTCTTCTGTAAAATCCCCTCAATACTGGGCTCTAAGGAATCCATGGTTGCTATGTTGGGTCAATGGAGTGCATAGGACACTTTGAGCTTCACTGGCGCCGAGGAAACCCGTCCTTCTTGCAGTGCATTGGATGTGCCTTGATTCCGAAACTGGAGCTGTTTGGGTTAGTGGCATCCTTTGCTGAGTCTTCCGGTCCGAGCCCCTCAGGAATCACACACACTGTCCGATCAATGACGGTGTGTCCGACATCCTTTGTGTAACGCCTGCCTGTTTGTTGTGATCTGTTTCTTTGCAGTTCTGTGCACCCTGAAAGCGCCATCCAATTTACCACAGCTGAGCCGTTCGAAACACTCCTGTCGCTTGATTGACACAGGGTGTTATTAACCCAAACTGTTTTTTTTCTTGGTATTGCAACTATAAAGCCATAACTGGTTGGTGGTTTGGAACATTTTTTATTTTTTCATATATTGGGAATAATACTCCCAACTGACTTTCATATTTTTCAGAGGGGTAGGTCTACCACCAACCAGATAATTAATGGGATACCCAGGATAGCCAGTTACCAAGCCACTAACGATGGATGGCGATGGGACGATGGTCAGGCTGTCAATGAGGACTGCATTTGTGCAAATTCTTCCCATCTCCGGGAATTGGTTCGAAGCTCGGGCTGTGGCTGTGGTATTGGCTTCCTGACAATATAAGAATCTGTAGATCAGATGGGAGTACTGTTGATTGTAGTTTTGATTGGATAGTATAATATTGTAAAATCAGTTGCCAGTGTTTGCACATTGACTGAACTGCGCATCCTTTCTGTCAGGCATGGCATGCACAGGTGATATCTTTGCCAGCCTTTCAGGCACAAGTACCGCCCAGATTGGGCCCCGCAGTTCCTGCAAAAGTTCGTCCGTTGCCACTGTACTGTCGTACAGTGGTAGGCGGAGCCATGGAAGTGGCGCTAGCTGAACCACAGCACTTTGGGGGACGTGAACCTCCACCGCCCAGTTGGGATGGATCAGACCCTTCGGCACTTTTGCCGATGTACGAGAAGAACGTGATGCTTTGGCAGTTTGAGACAGAATGTGAAGAGCGCAAGCGAGGGGTTCGACTGCTTCGTAGCCTTTCGGGGATAGCCAGGTCTGTCGCCGATAGCATGAGTTTCGAAGAAATTGCATGCACAAGCGGAGTTGAGAACTTGTTGAAAACTCTGAGGTCTCATTTTGAGCCACACTTAGAGTTGAGTTTGCCAAGGGCTTTTGAAAAGGCAGTTTATGGAGCTCCACGCAGTAGCAAGGAAAGCATCCAAGAATACCTGATCAGAGTTGAAAGGGCGTTCGTGGTGCTGGCCAAAGAAGGGTTGAATTTGGACGAGGCGGCAAAGGGCTATGTGGCATATCGACATGCCTCACTCACAGAGGCTCAGGATTTGCAGTTTAGCACTTGGAACAAAGGGCAGTTTGACTGGAAGACAGTCACCTCATGCTTACGCCGACTTGAGAAGGTCGTCCCCAAGAAATCTTCCGGAGCATTTGTGCAGATGGAAGGAGACGATGATGCAGACCCTTCGCCGCTTGCCGAGACCTTTGTCCAAGAGAATGAGGACGCTTCTGAGGATGACCAGTACATCTTGGTGGAGGAGGGCGATCTGAATAGAATCTATGAAGAAGAAGAAGCTCAGTTAGCGCTTGCGACATACCAGGAAGTGCGCAAGGCGCTGGGCGCCCAGCAAAAGGGAAGGCAGTACTATGGCGGTGGACGCAGTGGAACTCGGGGCCCATCTGGAAAGGGCAAAGGGCGAGGAGACGGTGTCAGCCGGAGAAGGATTCATATCGAAGAATTGAAGCTTCGAACCAGATGCGGCCGGTGTGGCCTTGTGGGTCATTGGGCCCGTGAATGTGCCAATAGCCCTGATCAGCGAGGTCGACAACGCATGGCAGCAGCAGCAGCAGCATTGAAGTCGGCAGGAACTTCAACGGCTAGTTCAAAGGGTGGAAGCAGCGTTGCACCAAGTCAGAGCTGGTATGTGGCGACTGGCACCAGTGCTGGATCCTTGCCAAGTGTTGAGTGTTGTTTTGGGTTTTCGTGTAGGGGAGATGCACGGAGTTTTTATGGAAATGAAGTTGCGGGATTTTTGAGTCATGATTCATTGAATCTTGAGGAGAGTGAAGACACTGAAGTGAGTAGCCCAATAGATGCTTCGAATAGCGTAGAGGTTTTTGATTTTGTAGATTGCCCAAAATCAAGTGATGGTCAAACAACGGCCTACTTCGTGGGCCTAACTACCAGCCCAGCACTTGCGGTGGTGGACACCGCGGCACAAGATGGCCTGATCGGCCTTGGAGCATTAGAGAGGTTGAAAATGCAGCTGTCCGAGCAGGGTCTTCAAGTTGCATGGACAAACAAACAAGCACGTGCACATGGAGTTGGGGGTGCAGCAAAAGTCATTGGAATAGCAGCGATTCCTTTGGGCATTGGAGGAGTTTCAGGTATATTAGAGGCAACAGTTGTAGAAGGTGAAGTTCCTTTGCTTTTGCCGGTTCGCATGTTGAAAGACCTTGGAGCAATCATCGATTTGACGTCGTTGTGCATTCATTTTCAGAAGTTGCAAAGAACTTTGCCTTTGACCGTTTTGCCGAGTGGACATGTGGCCATGCAAGTGTTGGAATTTGGTGAGCAAGGTTTTCAGTTTTCAGCAGTGGGGAACTCGCCTTTCAGTGAGAGCGACTTCCGAAAACCATGTGGCCCAAGCACGGAGGCCCAACGTGTGATGCTGCCGAACTCGTCAGCGGCCTTTCCAGCGGTCAGCTATGGATCCTTTGGCTGCGCTTCGACGCCGCCTGACGCGTGCACCTTCGGGCGCCGCAGCGGCCGATGCACCAATGGCTCCTGGCATCCCTCACAATTCGAAGAGAGCTCTGAAGCATTGGCGCCAACTTTTGGACAAAGCAGTGCAACTCCAACAGCTAGTTGGATTAGAGGAGTTGGTGCGCTCGTGGCTTCCACAGGCCTCAGAGATCGGAGGGTTGTCTCCGATGTCTTCAGAGCAGCTCGCCGAGCACATCAAGCATGCAGACAAAATGACCCCATTGAAACCAAAGGTAGCACCAGCGAAGAAAGCCGAGGAATGCGTTCACACGGCAGAGAGGTTGACAAATGGGGCAAATCAGTTTGCAGCATGGGTGGTGTGCATGGATTGCCACAGCAGGTGGAAGATCCCAATGATCCCAAAGGCTGCAAAGCAGGTGAAAAAGGAGAAAGTCAAGAAAGAGAAGAGCGCGAGCCCAGTTCGCGAGGTGAGAGGGCCTGCGAACAATCAGGAGATGGCTGCACTCAAGGAGGAGTGCGAGAGGCTGAGAGGAATGGAGCAGATGTCCTGCAGAATGCGGAAGGAACACCAGGAGGAGCACAGCCTTTTGGTCGAAGAGTTGAAGACGCACATGAAAGCAGAGCAGAAGACTCAAAGAATGGAGATACAGAGCCTGCGAGAAGCCCTGGAAATTCGAGAAGTGATGATGACCGAGTACGCCAGTATGGCGTTGGGGTCTCAATACAAGCAAGAGACGAAGGGCTATCACGACAGCGAGATGTATACGTATGCCAAGAACCAGCTGGACAATCAGAGGGAGATAGCACAGCTGGAAGCGCTTCAACAGGAGATCAGCAGGGCAAATCAGAGCACAGCAGCCGGAGTTCCAGTCCCAGCAGAGGTGGAATGGGACGTCTCGATGGCGGAGACAGATTTGACAGCAGGAGCCAGAGCTCGGGTGAAGAAGACCGAGCAGAAGGCGCGGTCAACATCGAAGCCGAGGCGACATGGGTTCGATTGAGCCGAAGTGGAGGTGTGAAGACAGAGGTAGAGAGGCTACAAGGAGCGGCATTTTTCCAGGTTCAACAAGTGCTGTTAGAGTTTGAAGAAGGTGTGTATGAGGCTGAGGTTGGAGAGCTTCAGTCAGAGGATGAAAGCTGCCTTGTGAAGCTGTCGCGATCTGCAAGAGGATGGTTAGAGGAGGTTTGTGAAGACGTTGAGGAGACGTCTTTACCGAAAAAGGTCAAGACCAAGTTGAGAGCGGCAGAAAAGGAGATGAAGGAAAATCATGCATGGCAGGTAGATGTCAGTGAGGTCTTCAGCCCTCCAAGGGTCACCAAAGAGGCAAGACGGCAAAAGATGCGTGCAGGACACGCCATAGACTTGCAGACAGGGTATGACCTTAGAACAGAGAAAGATTTGAAGAGAATGTGGCGTGCGTTGGAAGAGGATGATCCTGAGCTCACAGTTTGTAGTCCACCATGCGGTCCTTTTTGTCAGATTCAATCCTTGAATTTTCCCAGGATGCCAACCGAGAAAGTCATGAGGATTGTTGGAGAGGGCCTGCAACACTTGCGCACGGCAGCTCAAGTGTGTAAGCGGCAATACAAGAGAGGCAAGATTTTCGTTTTGGAGCACCCAAGAGGCTCTAAGGCATGGGTTGAAGAGGAGATTGAAGAGCTGAAGTGGTTGCCAGGAGTTTTTGTTTGCCGTTTTGATATGTGCCAATTTGGCATGAGAGTGGGACAAGATCTCAACAAGAAACCAACGACAGTCATCACGAACTCAGCAGAGGTGGCCAAGGAGCTCAGCAGAGTGTGTTCAGGAGGACACGTCCACGAGAGCCTCATGGGAGGCAAAGCAGCCAAGGCGGCTGAGTATCCGCCTGCCTTGTGTAGGGCAATGTTGAGAGGGTTGCGAAGGCATTTGAGGAAGCAGAATGTGGTGGAGAAACCAGAGGTTCAAGAGCTTGTAGTTTTGGCATCAGAAGACAAAGGAGAGGATGCGTCATCCTCTTCTTCAGAATCCTCAACCAATTCGTCATCCTCAGACGAATCTTCTTCTGAGAGCCAACCAGCAAGACCTCAAGGGAGGCGAAGACTGCAGCCTCTTCCAGCTGAAGCTGCAGTAACCCCGGAGGATCAAGCCAAGCTGAGACGCATGCATGTCAACTTGGGACACCCGTCGAAGCCAAGCTTTTTGAGGTTTTTGAGAGCAGGAAGAGTTCGTGAAGAGCTAGTGAGATGGGTTGCAAAAGAGTTTTCCTGCAGCACCTGTGCAAGCACCACACTTCCGAAAGCGCCTCGACCAGCCATCATTCCGAGGTGCTACACTCCCAGCGTGGCCTTGGGCTTGGATGTCTTCTTCATACCAGATGAGCTCAATAGGCAAACCATTCCGGTGTTGAATCTGCTGGATTTGGGTACAAATTACCAGATGGTAGAGATTCTGAGTTCCAAGGAGCCAATGCATATTTGGAAGACGCTGTGGAGAGTTTGGGGAAGAACATTTGGGCTTCCTCAGTATATCACTGTGGATGAGGGCAGAGAATTTAGAGGAGGCTTTTCCCGAGTTTGTGCAGAAGCAGGGATCATAGTCTTCAGTGCGGCAGCCAGAGCACCGTGGCAGCAAGGAAAGGTTGAGCGTCATGGTGGTTTGATGAAGACTATGATTGAGAAGGCGAGGGAAGAGACCCCGCCGACAAACAGAGAAGATTTGGAGCAGCTTCTCCATGCATGTGAGGCGGCGAAAAACAGGTTTTCGAACCGGTCTGGTTACAGCCCGACCCAGCGTCAGATTGGGCAGTGGCCAAGGATGCCAAGCAGCCTTTTGAGCGACGAGGCGATTGACCCTGCGCTTCAATCACAGGGCAGCATGGATGAGTTTGAAAAGATGATGGAGATGAGGAGGATTGCACAGGATGCCTTCATGAAACTTGCATGCAAGGAGGCGGCAGCGAGAGCGCTGCAAGCTCGCCCCAGGGTCATGCCAACTTACAAAGCAGGAGATTTGGTTTATGTTTACAGAACATTGAGGAGGCAAAAGGCATTGAGGCATGAGATCGGCCCTCGAGTCGGGCATTTCAGGGCGAAGTGGGTTGGCCCTGGCAAAGTGCTTGCAACAGAGGGTTCAGTGGTCTGGGTCAACATGTTGGGAGAGTTGTGGAGAGTCGCGGCAGAGCAGATGCGACTTGCTACGACCGAAGAAAAGCTTGGGGCGGAAATCATTTCAGAGGAGTGTGAAGAGATGCAGGAGAGGTTGAAGCGCAATTCACACCGAGCTGGATATCGAGACATCACAGGTCAGCCGCGACCGCCTGATGTAGAACAGACAGCAGAAGCGTCAGAAGAACAGGCTGGACAGGTACAAGCCTTGGAACAACCAAGTCCAGTCAGTGCAGAAGGCCTTCGGAGAGGACAACCACGACAGCGCATCCAGATCAACATCGATGATGCCCCGGTCCAACGACCTAGAGCTGAAAATGCCCAGTTGCTTAGGCGAGTGTCTATCGCGACGGAAGCAGAGCCCGAGGGTGAAGTCGGCTCAACGGCCGAATCAGCAGATCCCCAGCGAGAGGAGACTGAAGAACCAGGAGGTCCAGCGATAGAAGACAGTTTTGAGGATCAGCTGGATCGAGAAGTGGAGGAGTCTGCCGTCAATGCGGCGGCACACAATCAACGTCTTGATGGAGTGCCCACCAGAGATTATGCAGCGTTGAGGAGATCAGTGAGAGGTCAGTGGGGTCGAAACACGGCAGACCCATACTTTGCAGAATTCTTTTTCCTGGAAGAGCATGAGAAAGAAGGACAAGAGGAGAAGCCACAAAGGGACTATTGGGTGTTTGACCAGCACAGGGAAGTTCTCCAACGACACCATGTTGCTTGGAGGAAAGCGCTGTTCAATCCATTGCAAGCAGAAGGAAGCCCAGTCCCTCTTCGGGCACTCGGCAAAGGCCGAAAGACATTCAGAAAGTTGTCAGACGGCACACAGGAGGAGTTGAAAGATGAGTGGTCCTTGTTCACAGCCAAAGAGGAGCGATTGTCATGGTGGAGAGGAGTGACAGAGTTTTCAGTAGATGGACACTTTTTGGCGGCAAAACAAGGAGATAGCCAGAAGAAGAAACGAGGAGAAGGTGAGGTGTTTCCTCACGAGATCTCTCCGGAGGAGTGGCCAGCGTGGAGAGTCCAGGATCAAGAAGAATTTAGCAAAATAGTGGAGAGTGGAGCTTTGCGTGTTTTGAGCGTGGAAGAATCCAGAAGAGTGAGAAAGGAGCTGGAAGCCGCTGGGAAGTTAAATAGGATTATTCCTAGCCGTATGGTGAGGAGGTACAAACCTGGGGAAGGACCAGGTGCCCCGAGGACGCTGAAGAGCAGATTCTGTCTCAGGGGCGACAAAGACCCAGACATTTTGTCATTGTCACGTTTTTCTCCGACAGTGACAACCTCAAATTTGCAGGTGATTTTTCAGGTGGCTGCCAACAAAAGGTTTAGAGGAGTTGTGGGCGATCTCAAAGCAGCGTTTACTCAGAGCAAGCCTTTGCTGAGGAGTGAAGGGCCGCTGTATTGTAGGTCGAGTCATGGGAGCATGCCAGGTCTTCATGAGGAGCAGTTAGCAGAAGTAGTTTTGGGATGCTATGGTTTGGTCGACGCGCCTCTCAACTGGCGTCAGACGCTGACGGAGTTTGTCCAGAAGGAGCTGGGCTATCGTCAGTCAAGCCTTGACCCATGCACCTACCTCTACTTTGATGTAGACCCAAGTTCAGCCTCCAAAGAAGCATCACTGCAAGGGGTCATCTCGATTGAGGTGGATGACTTGTTGATGTTTGGGGGAAAATTGCACGAGAAGAAGATGCAGCAGTTACAGCAACGTTTCAAGTTTGGCAAGTTGAAGGAGATCAACGCACAGGGCGTTGACTTCAATGGAAGAAGGTTGCGACAAGAAGGAGAAACGTTTTTGATAGACATGCAGGCATTTGTGGAGGAGCGTTTGCAGGTGATCAAGATGTCAGCAGCAAGAAAGAAGGAGAGAAAAGCAGACATCACGGAAGAGGAAAGGTCACAAGTTCGCAGCGTATGCGGCGCATTGAACTGGGCAGGAAGAGAAGGACGTCCAGATGCTGCAGCTGCAGCTTCAATGTTTAGCAGCCTGATGTCGTCAATGAAGGTGGAGGATGTGATAGACCTCAACCGGGTGGTGGAGCAGCTCAAAGCCGATTCAAAGCTGGCTTTGCGCATACAACCAATAGAGGAGAGCAGAATGCGTTGGGGTGTGATCTCAGATGCGTCTTGGGCAAATGCCAAGAATGGTAAGACGCAGGCAGGTCATATGCTCATCACCTTTGACAAGGCATTGCTGGAGGGAGCCAAAGCAGTGACAAATGTTTTGCATTGGAGAAGTGGCAAACTACAGCGGACAGTTAACAGCACACTTGCAGCAGAAACCCAATCCTTAGCCAGAGGGGTTGGAGATCTCCTTTGGATGATGATTGTCTACATGGAGCTAGTGAAGCCTGAATTTCATGTACGAGAGTGGAGGAAGTACATTGGGAGGTTGGGCTACAATGCATTCACCAAGGTGGTGGAGACCCAAGAGTTGGAAGATGCGCTGGCTCTGGTAGACGCAAAATCGTTGTACGATGTGCTGGCTCATGAAACAACTGGAGGTTCAGACAAGAGAAATGCGCTGGATGTTCAGGTGTTAAGAGAAGAACTGTCAGAGATGCGAGGTCAAATAAGGTGGGTAGAACACCTTGAGATGCCTGCGGACTGTTTGACAAAAAGGCATGGAAAAGTCACAACCTTGAAAAAGCTATTGAATGAAGGCGTCTTCGGCATCACAGAAGAGTCGGCTACTCTGAGTTCGCGCCTATCCGATCGTAAAGAGCACGGATATAATAGGCGTTAATTAGAAGAATGTTCAGTCAAAGAAATTTCGAGGTGCTGTAAAATCAGTTGCCAGTGTTTGCACATTGACTGAACTGCGCATCCTTTCTGTCAGGCATGGCATGCACAGGTGATATCTTTGCCAGCCTTTCAGGCACAAGTACCGCCCAGATTGGGCCCCGCAGTTCCTGCAAAAGTTCGTCCGTTGCCACTGTACTGTCGTACAAATATGTATATATATATAATTATATATATATATACATATATCTATATATATATATACATATATATATATATATGTAGACTTCATAGATCAATAAAGCTTGCATTGGACTAAGACAGGTCTCTTTTCTAGGACGGGCAACGAAAAACATCGATGCATCGAGGTGAATGTCACAGTAGATGGACTTGGTTGCTACGCATGCGAGCCCCGACGACCACCTGCGTGCACCGAGGTGGGTTTCAACCAGAGTGACAAAAAACCAGAGATTGGTGAACTAACTGGCAGTAAGTTGTTGTTTTTTTTTAAAAACTTTGAAACATCCAACTCATCCAACTACACTTTTTATACTTTAATTTTAGGTTTGATAGTCACTGTACTACGATTCTATTATGGAAGAGGTAACGCTTCAGATGAATGACAACCATCTTAAGAAGCCGAGAGTTCAGCCGGATGTCTCCCATCAGCCATCTGTTCGGTTCACAAAGTTTGGTGTAAACCCAATCATTGATCTTGGATCCCCATTGATAGAATTTTATAGATGGATTCTACTGATTCTACCTTCAAAACCTGCACCTACCATCATTTATGATAATATTTATGGGGGATCTACTCGATGAATTTCCCGATTTTGTGGCACAAAAAATCGTCACATTTTCCGCGCCAGGCCCATGACCAATGCACACCGGAGGCTTGTGAATGTGGCAACTCCCGGACCCACGTGCAGCTGGCATGTTGCTACGCAAGTGGATCACAAAAACAAGGGCAAGGTTCAAACCAAAGATGGCTTATTCTACTAATGGATCTAATGGGAAACATTGAGATCAACATGATCCCAGGAAACATAGGGGATTTCACCATGAAAAACACCTGGATTTGACCAGATGGGATTCCAAAGCCAGTGCAGATTTCTTTTCCTCGATGTCTAGGCTGATTTGCTGAAGCTTGTGGTAAAGTTGGGATCCCTGCAACAAAAAACAGCCATCTGCTGGTGATTCGACATGGCAGATCAAACACTCTGCGACCACTGTAGATGGAAGCCCTTGCTTCTACTGTGCGGATCTCAAGATGTCGGGAATCTCCGTGGAGGTTTCCAAGAATCGAAGGGATCATGGTTATCAATGGGCCATCTATGTTGAATAACTATGTTTCCTTTCTTGATGGTTTAACAATGTTTAACATGGCTTAACAGATCACCTGAAGCTGAACTTTCTACAGAATAACATATAATACCACACACACACATATATATATTATATACACAATAACATACACATCATAGAATATAGATAATCCGATTATTATATATACGTATATAGAATCCCATATCCCATAGATAATCCCATGTAATCACATAGATGTTTCCATTGCAGCTTCGGAATCGGAAAAATCTCCAAGGTGAAGCCATTAGCGGAGTGGGCCTGGGAAGGCAAGGGACAGACGAGCCCAGGATTTTAGACTTTGGCCATTTCAGGAACCGATTGATTGGAGGTACTTACCATATATATATATTGTTTTCCCAATTATTTCCCTATTTATTTCCCTATTTATTTCCGTCTATCTGTCTATCTGTCTATCTGTCTACCTGTCTACCTGTCTACCTGTCTATCTGTGGTGCAGTAGTTAAAAATATACATGTACATAGCACTGTACATCCCTCCATGTTGTCATGTTGTGTCTTGTCTTTTGTACCGCTGTACTTCAATTTGTAAAGCGACTGAATATTTTGGCTCAAGATAAAACAAGCAGCTTTGTGCTTCAGTTCATTGGGTACTATCCTGGGAGGTTGTGGGATACGTACTCAACAGGTTACAGCCTCAGTTCATATATCCGGATAATCTTACACTCACATAGGTCCTGAGCCACACCTTGTGTTCGCAAGACATCCACCAACACACTTCTCCCTGACCCTTGGTAACTGCCGGTATCGAGTTGCACCAGCCGCTTGCCAATTCAGGTGATTAGTGCATCGCAGCAAGCTCGTGTCCATCGAACAAGGACTCGTGCTGGAGTGTTTGCACTGACCAAGGTGCATCCTCCCAGTTGTTGAAACCAATTTCCATATTAAGTACTTTGTTGAGCCCATTGCAGTAGGCTTTGTTGTGCTCCTTAGTTCAATCGAATCGTTAGTGAATCTTTGCATTGATCGGAGTCCCTGATTCGCAGTCAAACCCCGATCGCATCGATTTGTCAGTCAAAGACCTAATATCATCTGAGGAACTTAGTCGGCATTTTGCTGTGACCTCCCCGTTTTGCTAAGCAATTGCAGGGTGAGAACCTAAGTCCATTTCCAATTGTACGGCATTTGTGGTTCGAGACAAGGTTTAGCTCAACCACTTTCTTGCTTGAAGATTTGCGGTGCTGCTGTACATGGACAGAAGGGCACGTTCAAGATCTGGTTCAGAAGAGCGTGAGGTGTTGCAGAATCGGTTTCGTAAGATCAGAAAGGAGAAGAGGTCAGGTGTTAGCTTCAAAAGAAGATATCGTTTTGCCTGCCTTAAGCTCCTGACTTACTTCATCCGTGTGTTGACAGCCCAAACTGAACATCCAGATTGCGACCCTTACGATCCGCATAGTTTGTACTTGGAACGCCGTAAGCTTCAAGCAGAGGAGCAATTGAAACGGGTTGAGGACTATCAGCTTCCGCGAAGGGATCAGCCACTTTTAGCGAGGCTTGAGCCTGTTCCTGATTCTCGAGGCGAAAATACTGGGTACTATTCGGAAGATTCGTTTGTTGCAGAGACAGTTGCCATCAGTGACGAGGAGTCGGAGACAGAAATTCAGTGTCCGTTCTCTGAACCACGCTTCATCGAGATCTTTCGATTGGTCCGGGAAGGAAAGATCAAGAAGGGAAAGGTTGTGCAAGAAAGAGCCATACGTTCCCGTTGTTCCTGACCTTCCAGATCGTTTGAGAGGACCATCGCGTGTATCTTCGTCAGGTGCATCTTCATCTGTTCTTTTGCCGAAAGCAATTTCAAGTGTACCGCCTACAATTGTTCTTCAACCTAAGCCGAAAACAACTGCAGGTGTGTCATCATCCGTTCGTCGTACTTCAGCCGCTCAAGCAGCAACAACAGGCGGTGTTGGGGTACCAGAACCTTTGAATCCCCCAACTGGTGTGCGTGTGAATCATCAGCAAGTGAGGAACTTGGGATTTCGCATCAGCAATCTTCCAACGTTCAAATACTCAGAGCAATTGATCTTTTCGGTGGATTGGCACCAGGTGTTGGACACAGTGAGACTTCCAAAGGAGACTCTAAGGACTGACACTTATCGCATCTTGCCGGAGGTTCAGGATTCACTTCAACAGTTGCGTGACAGTTTCCAGGGTGCTTGATTGTCATCAACAGTTATTGCTGTTCTAAATACTACAGGAAGGGCGTAGCTTCAATCAATCATCCTTTGGTGGCACATACAATCACAACAGAGGACCGGGTCACGGAAAGAGGCAAGTTTTCAGCTTTGACTGAGATTGCTGACAAGTCTTGCATCTTGGTGCACTTTGACGGCAGTGCAGACGTTGTGAAGGAGTGGAGGGGCCTGACTGCGGGGTTCAACAATCAGTTGGGAATTTTTGGGATCAAGGTTCCAAGGCATTGGAAGACGCAGAGGGCTGTGACAGGAGTGAACTGGTATCAGAACATTTTGGACGCGATCCAGGACGTCTGTGCCAAGTACCGTGTCAAAGAGAGCCAGGAATTCTGCTTATCCTTTGTATCCTCCACCGGATTTTCACTTGTGAGTCCTTGCTAAGCTTGTCGAATCCGAGTGTCTTCCTAAGTATCACATCGCAAACTCGAAAATCGAGCGCTATAAAGTGAGTGTTTGCGCTGACCAGGGTGCATCCTCACATCAACAAATAATTAACATTGGTTTCTTGGTTTGGAACCCTCTTTGATTTGTAAAACAATTCTTAGGGTCCGGCATTTTGCTAAGTTGAGTTCATACCTTGAAAGAGCAAATAACATGCCACAAATCAGTGAGATATCCTCATCCATGGTTCCAGGAACAGAGAGTCCCGAGACTTCCCTTCAGGTTTCGTCCACATCACCCGAGATTTGTGATGAACCATCTAGGAGCAAAGCCCTTAGTGTTAGGAAGATTGGTAAACCTGCAAGTCGCTCTTCTAGCAGTTCCAGTCGTGCCTCATTACCACCATCAGGTGTCCAACGGGGTAGTTCCACCGGGGATGCATCTCATCGGGGACTAGGATCATTTCCACAATCTGTTTCAATGAATCGCATGGATGTACACATGGGTGTTCAAATGGAAGGTGACAATTTTGATCAAAGATCAGAACATGTCGAACAGACTTATCATGATCATCGCACTCAACAGCAGCTGAACGTTTTGAGTGTTGGTGTTAATCCTGCAGTTGCACATGCTCGTGAATCCCAAGTTCGTGCAGAAGCTTACAATGCGGTTGCCCAATACCATCATCAATCCCAAGAAGCTCAAAGGGTTGCAGAGGTTAGTGTGATGGGTGCCGAACACAGGGTATCGCAAATTCACTCAGAAGCTTCAGCCCATGTAGCACAGTTGAATGCGAAGCACCAAGAAGAGATTTCTAAGATCCAGCATTCGGCAAACTTAGCACATGGAGAATTGGGTTTGAAATTGCAGCAATCGGAACAGTACAGCCAGACTTTGCTTGAGAAGTTGGAATCCCAACAAAATGAATTGGCTGAACAAAGGGATCGGTTTCAAGAAATGCAAGCAATGGTCATGTCATTGCAACATCAGTTGACCATAGTCCATCATAAATCAAGTCCACCAATCGTTCCCCAAAATGGCACGGATCAATCAGACTTGATGGATTGCATTTCGACATTGAGAAATGAGGTACGGCAGTTGAAAGAGGATAACCAACAAAGGAAATCCTTGATGCAGAGTTCATCGCAATTTGTCATGCCTAGTCAATATAACATTGCCACCCCAGTCATCCCAGTCAGCCAGAGCCAGTTTCCAGCAGGGTCGCCGTTTATTACCCCTCATGCATCGGTCCATGCAACATCACCGTATGTTTCGCCAAACCAATCCGCATGTGCAGGGTATGTTCCACTAGATTTCATGAACATGTCGCCGAAGAGACCTCGGCCGCCAGGACAGCCAGGAACTCCATCATCATCCACATCATCCAGATCTACTAGGGACCTAGGCAAAGGAAAGGGGGGTAATACTCCACCTAGTACTCATGATCCATCATGGCCTAGTAATCCAGGTGATGGCAGTGGGGTTGCAGGAGCCCAATAGCTCGTAGGCAAGATGGTCTTCGGTCGGTTGGTGCAGGTTCTGCAAGTATCAATGATGAGTCGTCCATTTATAAAACAAAAGATCTTCAATCAGTGTCAGTGCCAACACTCCCCAACGATGCCGCACAGTTCCGTGGTTGGCGCAACTCCTTTCTTACCAAAGCCGCCTCAATTGACAAGACGGGTGAGAATCGTATCATGGCTTGGTTGCTGGAATCCTTTTCAGCAAATGTTTCAGTAGAGTACTTTGAACAGACTTCTCTGGAAATGCCTCGTCTTGATGCATACCTTGCCAGTCAGTTGATGGAGCCCAAACATTTCCGAGGGGAATTGGGTTTGCAATTCCAGGCTTATGCTGAGAAAGAGCAGTTGCGGGGTAGGGCACCATTAGGAAGGGTTTTGCTCAACATGGTAGCCAGGAGATTCTTCTTAGACTTGAGCCGTGGAGCTAATCTGACACAGCAAAGCTTGTTGGAGCTCGACATCAGTTCATATACTTATGAAGGCCTTCGCACTTTTGTTGATCGCATTGAGTTCGTTCTCAATTCAATCCCTCCTGATTTGCAGCCATCAGAGTTGACACGCTATACATGGTTGTACTCACGGTTAAAGAAAGTAAGACTGATGCAGAGACACATTGACAGAATCAAAGATTCCAAACAAACGTCTCACGTCAGGTGTTGGGATTGGCTTTTCAATAAGCTGAAGACCACATTGTTGGAAATGAAAGAGGACCAAAACGAAGAGTCAATCAGAACGGCATTGCAAACACAGGCAAAGACCAAGACAAAGCCAAAAGGTACTGTTGCACAAGCAGGTGAGGATGAGGATGCTACAGCAAGTGCTGCAGCAGCCAAGGCAAAGCCGAAGGCAAAACCAAAACCCAAACCTGCAACCAACCCAAAGGGTTCTTCCAAAGGAAGAGAAGATGGCCCAAGTGCCCCGGCAAAGCCGGATTCCAAAGGAAAAGGCACTGGTAAAGGAGATGCAAAAGCAAAGGCAAAGCCCAAGCCAAATACACAAAGTGTTCCATGCATTTTCTGGCCTAAAGGAACTTGTAATAGAGGAAGTGAATGTCCATTTTCTCATGATCCTAAGGCTGCGCCAAAGGCGTCAGCCGCTGCCGCAAAAGGTGCACCAACAACAAACCCAAAGGGTGGAGCATCAGGGGGGTCAGCAGGTTCCAATGCAGCTTCTAAGGCCACTGTCGCCACTGTCGCCGCAGTTGTAGCATCGTCGTTGTCAAAGGCATCGGCATCGGAGGTTCGATCAGAGAGCTCATGGTCAAGTTCCATCTTCGAGAGGTTTAAGCATACTGTTGTAGCTTGTTTTGTACATTTTCACTTCGAAATGTGCTTCGCGCCACAACGGCGTGCACTTGTTCGACATCTCAACTTCCAAAAGTGGTCCGAACCTGGTGTGTTTTGTACATTTTGACTTGGAAATGTGCTTCGCGCCACAACGGCGTGTAACTTTTCATCTCTCATCTCCCCAGATGTCTCCGCACCCGTCGCTTTAGCGAGCCGACTTTTCAACTCTCCGGAGCCACAAAACCACGAAAAAACACAGTGTTTCGCGACTTTCCTACCTTTTCGCGCACCTGCATCTTCTTTCTTCTGATCTTTTCTCTTCTGACTCTTCTCCCTGCTGACTGCTTTTTCATCTCTCCATATTGTCGGAAGTTTGACTTCCAAACTTCCTTCGATTATTTCCCTATTTATTTCCCTATTTTATTTCCTTATTTATTTCCCTATTATTTTCCTATTATTTCCATATTTATTTCCATATTTTATTTCCCTATTTTATTTCCCTTTTTATTTCCCTATTTTATTTCCCTATTTATTTCCCTATTTATTTCCCTATTTATTTCCTTATTTATTTCCCTATTTATTTCCCTATTTATTTCCCAATTTATTTCCTGATTTATTTCCCTATTTATTTCCCTATTTATTTCCCTATTTATTTCCCTATTTATTTCCCGATTTATTTCCCTATTATTTCCCTATTTTTTCCCTTTTTTGTCCCTATTATTTCCCTTTTATTTCCCTATTATTTCCTTATTATTTGCCAATTTTTTCCCTATTATTTCCCTATTATTTCCCTATTATTTCCCTATTATTTCCCTATTTATTTCCCTATTTATTTCCCTATCTATTTCCCTATTTATTTCCCTATTATTTCCCTATTATTTCCCAATTTTTTCCCTATTATTTCCTTATTATTTCCTTATTATTTCCCTATTTTATTTCCCTATTTATTTCCCTATTATTTCCCTATTTTTTCCCTATTATTTCCCTATTATTTCCTTATTATTTCCCTATTATTTCCTTATTATTTTATTTCCCTATTTATTACCCTATTTATTTCCCTATTTATTTCCCTATTTATTTCCCTATTTATTTCCCTATTTTTTCCCTATTATTTCCCTATTATTTCCCTATTATTTCCCTATTTTTTCCTTATTATTTCCCTATTATTTCCATATTATTTCCCTATTATTTCCCTATTTTTTCCGTATTTTTTCCGTATTTGTTCCCTATTATTTCCTTATTATTTCCCTATTTTTTCCATATTTCTTCCATATTGTTTCCCTATTATTTCCCTATTGTTTCCCTATTATTTCCCTATTTTTTTCCTTTTTTGTCCCTATTATTTCCCTTTTATTTCCCTATTATTTCCTTATTATTTGCCAATTTTTTCCCTATTATTTTCCTATTATTTCCCTATTATTTCCCTATTTTTTCCATATTTTTCCCTATTATTTCCCTATTTTTTCCCTGTTGATAGAAGTTTCTATGACTATAGACTATAGACTTCGTTGGACAATTGGCATCTGTCCCAGTTGATGGGAGGCCGGAACTTTTGATGTTCACCGGCATCCTGCTACTCGTCATTTGGCACTTTGGCAGGACAGTTTTCGCAGCGTTTTTTTTTTTGGTCGAAGGGATGGACTGAGTTGGGCTCCACGCACAACTTGGATCAGGTTTAGTGAAAAACTAATGACCAAACAGTTTCAAACAGTATAATATAATCCCCTCCCCTTAATATGCAACATCCCCTTAGAAACCATGGTTTAGTAGGGAATTTCCACATAATTGGGACCATTTATGGAGTGTTGAATATTAGGGTAAATGGATGTTCATTCCTCTAAAAATGGTATTAATAGGTATTGATCCATACCCATTTGGTGCTTCACAAGTCGAATTTCCAGCACCCAGCCATCTGGCAGGAAGCCAACCCGGGGCAGCTTGAGACTTTCGCGGCGGCAGGCCGAAGATGGTCCCCGGAGCATGATAGCGTTAAGTGTTCTATAGTTAGTTTATATATCTATAGTTATCTATGATTTTATGATTTTACCATGTTTTTGTTGTGGTTTGCACTTTTGTTTTTTTTTGGCCGAACTCGGTGCAGGGCGACCGAAATCGTGCCATTCGAGTTCAGCAGGAGCCGTTGAGGTTCTATGAGGAGGCACAACTTCAGCCGTTGGAGTCAGTTGGAGGTGGAAAAAATGGAAGCAACTCGTGTTCTCAAAAAATCGTGACATTTATATGTCATGTTTCCTAACATGTTTGAGGATGAATTATGACACATCATGAACTTATGAACGATTGACATTTAATAAAAGATCCAAATTGGTGCTATGGACACAGTCGGGCTTCCCCGAAAGAGATGCTGGTCAGGTCCTATTGACCATCGGAGACGTGTTTGACTTCCTCGTCAGGAACCCAGTGATCACCTCTCATTAGTGGCAAGGGTCAAAGGTCAAAGGTTGGAACCGTGGAAGCACTCTGCTTCCCCTGAGCATCCAGTTGACCACATCTTCGAAATCATGCCAATTTGTTGATCTACCGAAAAACCAAGACGTGGAAGATTATACCAAGTAACAGGCCACAAAAAAAACAACAACAACATGACGATTTTCCAACCGATGTTCCAATTTCTGCCATGTTTTTTTTTCAAGAACAAGCCGCTAGCAGAAGCGGCGAAAATTCTCAGGTGGATGGTGTCTGTGAGCTGCTGGGTATGGCATGGAAGGTCTTGAAAATGACGGAGTTTATCACTTGGGTGCCACAACTTCTGGAGTCCTTGTGCCTTGGATGCCTTGGATGCCTTCCATGGGGATGTCTTGAACCAAGTTTTGTGGACAGAATCAGAGAACTTTCTAATGCAAATGATTGGATAGCATTTTCCCAGCAGAATAACAGAATCACATTTTTGTGGACATCATGATGGTCATTTTTTGCCAAAGAACTATTTTCCGAAGCTGGCACGGCAGCCTTAACGGCAGGCTTGGCAAGAAGGAACTGTCTGTGGAGGAACTCGCAGCGAAATGCGGACCGGAGGTGACGTTTTTTTTTTTTTTAAACATCTGGCTTTGTCTGAGAATCGAAGCTGGTTGGTGGTTTCAAACATTTTTTATGTTCCATTTCATATATGGGAATAATCATCCCAACTAACTAGGTTCAGTATAACCATCGGGGTAAATTTCATCACGACCTCACTGTTCTCCCGAACCCTGGGAATCATGGTTAATAAGGGATAGTAAGGGCAATCATCCCCCAAATGACCTTAATTCAGGTTAGTGAAACATCATAATTTACCCAGAACCATGGAATGATTTCAAGAACCTTGACAAGATATAAATAGAACATTGACAGAATATGTAGAACCATGATAAGCACAGGGATATGTTTGCGACAGTAGCATGCAAGTGTCATAGATAGGTAAAAGTGCCAAACATATCATATTTCTTTTGTTTTTTGGCCACTTTCACGTGGTTCATGACTGCTTCGGCCTGTTTCAGCACGCAGCTCTTTTCCGGATTTTAATGGGGAACCATAGTTTCATACACTTCATGAACCGATGGATTTGGGGTACCATAGTTTCAGAGAAACCCATAAGATCCATGAGTTATGCGACAAAGATTCTACCGAAACAGATGCACCAAAGAGTTTATCATGTCAGCTGTAGCACTGTAGCATAGCTCTCCAACAAAGAGCTCGTGAGTGTTGGAAAGAACTGCTCACATTACCTGATGCTAGAAATCCAGAAATACCTTCCGGTGATTCAACATAGCTATGGAAGCCATGGTCCATTTGTAGAGAATTTAGCTATGAAAGTGGCGATTTTTCATAGCAAACAACGTGAAATGACCAGAGATTCAGAGGGTGGATCACTGGATCGACTGCGAAGGCTGCAACAAATGTTGGCGCAAAGGCTCCAAAGGCTCGAGCTGTCGAAGTCGTCAGATTTGTGGTGCCAAAGTGGTGTCCAAATTGTCATCGGCCCATTTCTGTGGCTCGAAAGTGGAGTCAATGTTTGTTGGAATCCAGATTTTTGACAAAGCTCAGATTCAGCTCTCTGTGGTGAACTTCCAGATTTGTGACAAGTTGACCCCACAAAATGATACAAAATCGTGGCGTTTTGTGGGCATCATTTTGAGACTCCGAAAGCCATATTCTTGTTAATTAACACTGAGTTTCACCATCCTCTTTTTTCACGGTGAAACTCCGCGTTTTCTCATTTTTCACGGTGAAACTCCATACCCTCTGGTAAACTAACATAGCTATGGAAAATCACAATTTTTAATGGGAAAATCCACTATAAATGGCAATTTTCAATAGCTATTTTGACATAACCAGAGGGTAACTTTCCATGGCGGAAACGCCCATGTGTCAGGCCGAAAACAGCACGCGGCGCCGCGAGTCTCGAGAGGCGGAGCCACGGTGGGAAATTTCCAGGTTTTCTTGGAGCATAGGCTGGGTGGTATCATGGTTTTAATCGCCCATCATTTGGGAACATTATATATATATATATGATATATATATATAATATTATAATGGATACCTGGTATATATATATATATTATAATGGATACCTGGTATATATATATATTATAATGGATACCTGGTATATATATATTATAATGGATACCTGGTATATATATATATTATAACATTGTATATACGTGTGTGTGTATATATGTATATTATAGGATACCTGGTTTGGGAACTATGGGATTAACCCTGGCATATCATTATAATACGCTCCGACAGTTCCACAGGAACGCCTGTAACATGTTTTTTTGCAGGAATATAGCCACTTCTGAAGTGGAACTGTAGCGATTTGGCGGGCAGGTCACTCGGGAAGCGCGAGGCAGCAGCTTGGCTTGGCTTACCAAAATGAACAGACCCAGTACTAAAGCAGGGTTTATACAACAATGTAGCAACTAAAGTAATATTGTAGCAACCCTGGTTTCCGTTAATATTACATACCCCCTTCCCTGGATATGGTTTGGGAGTATGTAATATGAAAGGAAACGGATTACGAGTTGATGCAATGTATGCCACCCAAACACATGTGTGAGACATTGCATGCCAGGTTCCCGCTAGATGAGGCAAATGAATGAGGTAAAGATGGCAAATCGACCACTCTGAACCTATTAAGATGCGGATCAATCTTCCCAATTTTATCAGATTTTATCATATCACATAAAATCCCTATCCCGATTAAATCAATTGTAGCATTGTATCCCAAGTGTTGCCGGTTCACATCCCGTTATATCCCCAAATGTTTTCATCAGTCTGAGGTTCTTTTCATCACCCGCCAAGGTTCCAAAACAACTTCGCAAGAGACTGTCAAGGAGCGACTGGGGAGTCTACTGCGCCATACAACAAGGGAAAAATATGGACAACAACGGAATTCCGATGATTCTGTGGGATATTTTTATAGCCAGAAGATTGGCATTTCTTTTGGGTATAACAGGCACAAGCGAACACCTCCTGAAACATCCTCAAGACATAAGCGGAAGGTGGTTTTCGCAACGTGTCTGTGGGATGGCCAGGTCACCAAAGAGAGCCAGGTTGGTCTGAAGCTAAGTGGATCAAGTGGATCCGTCCACTTGCCATGATGAATTCTCAGAAGTCATCATCCACCGACCTGTTGGCATCAAGATGATCATGAAGATCTTTCTAGAGTTTTCTAGAGTTTTCATCCCAATGAGTTTGAGATACTTTTTTTGGGAGAAGATCTAGGGGTCCTTTAGGGGTCCATAGGGCCAGAAATGTCGGAAATGTCAGCGCCAAGGCTCCAACCACAAAGCCAAAATGACTTCGGAGATCAAGGCGAGGGTTGGGGGTGAAGTCGATGGGGATACCCCCAAAATCCTCCAATTTTGACATTTTGATCAAAGCCATGCTGACCAATGGGGATCCAGTTTAATAAAAACCCAACTGAAAAATCAATGAAGTATTGAAACCGATGGTGACTTGGGCCATATTAAACATCGGGTTAGACATCCTGCCTTGAGTAACGAAACGGGTGGTGGTCAAACTTGTTGGGCCATTGTTGTGCCACTGTCACTGTTGCCACAATGTTTTCTCAGGTCGCGAGCGAGAATCGGGTCAATGGTCCCAATGGTCAGGGCTTCAGACAGGAGACACAAAGAGGATAAAACAAATTTTAGACAGATGGGGATGTTGCGATGATATGCCGATCACCCTCCAAAAGCATCAAAACCTCACCGCCCCTCCTGAGTTTAGACCGCACCAGAGCCTCTACGCCAAGGTTCCAATGGTCACAAAGGCAAACCGACTCCGCAAGAGGCTGTCAAGGCGGGTGAGGATGGCAAGGCTGATATTCTTGACAGAGAGATTATTGATGATTATTGAGTATTGAGATCGTTTGCATGAAACAAGCTCTAATAGTGTCTCCCTGATATTTCTTGATATGTATCAGTGATGTAGCATCAATATGGCAAGGCTGTATACAATCCTGTTGCCTCCAGTAATCAACCCTTTACAGCAGAATGTTTCTCGTGCTAGGTCACGAGCGAGAGCCGGGTCAATAGTCCGCGCGTCAGAAGAATGATAAATGGAGGCTTCCTAAAATGGGGGTATCCCCAAATGGTTGGTTTATAGTTTATAATGGAAGAACAATCTATCAATGGATGATTTGGGGTACCCCTATTTTAGGAATCCCCAAAATATGATAAGACACTGAGAATGACACTGATATGACACAGAGCTTTTGCCCAAAAAATGTACCATCTGGTTATTTAACATAGCCATGGGACATGGCCCATTTATAGATGGTTTACCTATTAAAAATGGGTGGATCTTTCCATGGCTATGTTAAATAACCAGATGGTATAAGAGGCTACCATATCCCAACAAAGAACACCAGAATGATCGAATTGATTGGGTGAAAGCCATCAGAACCATCGTTGAACCAAGGCTCTGGCCCGAATGGCCCGAATGGCCCGAAAGCCAAAGCGACTCCACCAGAGGCCGTCAAGGCGCATGAAAGGTTGAAAGACGGTTATCGCTACATCGCTATTTGTCTCGTTTTTGTTGGGCAAAAAGAACCTAAAAAACAGAGAAAGTTGGCAAATCTATAATCTCGTGTTCATTTCGTCCTGTGTCAGGTCCCGAGTGAGAGCCGGATCAATAGCCAGTGCTTCAGATACGAAGCCAATACTGGATCAACAAGATCAACAAGCAGCAAAATCCAGAGATCATAAGATTTTACGTCCTTTTATCGCTGATGAAAGAAAGGGTGCAGGTGCAGCCACCCATTTCACGCAACCCTGGGTAAATGATGATACATGGATATATACGTATATATATATGTATATGTAATGGTTTGGCAGTCTCTGAACTAAACTCATCTTTTTCACTACTCAACAGCTCTACGAAGCGAGAGAGAGAGAGCTCTACGAGTGTCGCTAAGGCTCCAATGGCAAAGCCAAAGCGACTCCACCAGAGGCCGTCAAGGCAGGCAACGGAATGTCAAGCGAATCCCAAAACGCTTGTTCCTAAAGACTTGTTGCACCAGATATTCTTCAGAAAATCATTCAATTCATTCTACATCAGCATTTTGGAAAGGTTCTATACCCATCATTACCTATATCATTCTCCATCTATAGCCATGTAATATCTATACTTATCATTACCTATATCATTATCTATATCATTATCTATACCCAGAATTGATTCAGAACTTTGCCATGGTTTTTTCGCGGTTTAGCCCCGATGGACTTCACCTGGGGTCCGCCTCAGGCCGGCCGCCAAGGCCCCCAAGGCCCCCAAGGCGCCCAAGGCCCCGCCCACTGCCTCGAAGCTAAAACTGCTTCGCAGGGGGTGAAGGCCGGGAAGATCATGGAAGATCATCCGGGATATTCATGTGGGATATATGGTTTGAGGAGGTGGATCATGGTTTTTTCAGGAGAACATGATAGAAAGTCATGATTCCAGGGTTTAGAACATCGCTTGACCTTTGAAGAACCTCCTTACGATTTTTTTTTTGGGCACTATTTGTGAGGTCCAAAAGGCTAGCGAAGTGGGCACGCAGAAGTCTGAAGGGAATGAGGCCACCTGCTGCGGATTTTGTTGGGTCGTTTTGGATGGCCGGGTCTGACGCCTCAGGTGACACAGAAGCTGCATCCTCAGGGCGGAGCGGCGGAGCTGTGTCAGGGTTGCTCTGGGACACTGGGTCCCCCATAGACCCACATTTTACTTGGCGTTTTTTTTCCTTCTTTGATTGAAATGGACATCGACATTTTGGTACTTATTGTTACTATTAAGTTATTTATTTTGGTACCTTTACATCTATTTTTGAGTACATTTCTGTCCAATGTCAAAGTACTTGCGACAGAAATGTCTTGCGTTTGCAAAGGGGTAGGCAATCCAGTGGCCAAGCTGGTGGATTTTGGGTCCAAAATTGGACATAGCAATCTTCATCCAAAGAAGGCATGGCCAAATCCACTCAAATCATCTTGCCAGGTTTTTGTTGGAGGATCCTGGAAGGACTTGGAACATTTCAAGTCTGTAAGCCTTTTCTGAAATTCAAACAAGGACAAGAGGGAACAAGTAACAATCAGCAGATCTGCAACATGAGTGGTTCAAGATGCTTCAAAAAAAAACATCAACAAAAGTCACCCAGCCACAAGAAATATCTGAGGCCAGACGTTCCTTCAAGCCCAGAGATGCCAGGGGCTGAGATTTTGCGGCGAACTTGACCTTTGGAGATATCGGGATCCAACGACCAGTAACGACCATGACATTTTTCTGAGGCTGGAGCCTTCTCCAATGTATAAAGCTGCGCTGGCGGTCGCGTGGCTGCCACCTGTGCCCATTTTTGATAGCAAGCCCCTCCATTTCTGCTGGTTTTCTTTGTTCTCATTGATTGGGTGAATTTCTGATGTTTAATGGCACCCATACCCAATACCACCGAACTTCCCTAGCATTTTTTCCAATTGACCTCTAAGTTTTGTGGGATATATATATATATATGTATATATGGCGGATGCTTACATCACCTTACATCCCGATTTTTCATCACTTCATATCACAATCCTGAATCTTTACAAGATATATCAAGATATATCGATATATTTCACATTTCACAAGTATAGATATATTCCCCATGTTAGTGGTTCATCAGTGATTTCAGGCTCGAACTTTCCGCGTGGCTGGGCTTCAGGTGATGAAGGCCAATGCTGAAGCTGCAGCGAAATCGGCGGAGTCTTCGCCCGGAGAACTCAGAGAAATCTTCGTTGGAGACAGAAATACATTGAATAATAAGACTCAATAAAGAAAAAGGGTATGCTCATCCTCATTGGAAACTTTATAATGGGGCAGAATCTTATAAAGATGATTACCTAATATGTATGAATAATGGAGACCAAGGACCTCCTGGTAATTCATATCGTTCACCTCATTCTCTTGGGAAAATAAGATTATATTCATATAACATGTTTCAACTCTTATCAAGAGATGAGTTGGAGATGAGTCAATCGAACGATGTATCATTGGATTGGTCTACGGGAAAATTGAAACCGGATTTTCCCTATAATAAATGCTAGAAAAACTATGGTTTCCAGTTTCGATTTTCCCCAGAAAACCAATCGGATGAATGTATCATTCAGGGGCCCCAGTCTGTCATAGCTTGGTCATGGGTTTCCACTGCACATCGAGGTCACCCGTGGAGGCCTGATGGGAAATTGTCTCTCTAGTGGCTCAGGAGGTTTCGATGAAAATTTTGGGACCAAAATCCGAAATCCGAGGACCTATTCTGTGCAGATTCCGTTGGAAATGACGTGTTTCTTGGTGTTTTTTTGGCGTTCTCCCGATGTTCCTCCCCTTGAAAAGAAGAACTTTCCATTTATGAATGGCTTCCTGTAAGCAAAAAGAGATCAAAAGAGTCTAGGGCCATGTTGCTAGCCGGCCAAGGCTGTTTCTGATATCAATCTGAGGTCTAGCACGCTGAATGGGGTTGAATATGACCCATGAGAATGATCATCACATGTCGTAATCCGTAACAGCTCTGAAGCTATGGTGTGGAAAACCATCAAGGGCGATGTTTTTTGATTCTTGAAACTACTGTAGTACTTCTGCTTGGTACATCCCCAGTTGCCCCCAGTTCACCGTCGTGAAGAAATCCCATGGTGAGGATCTCGAGGGGTCCACCGATGGCAGTGTTCCACCTGCCGTGGATGTGGTGGATGATGAGACGGCACATACTGAGAGCGAGGACATGGCCATGGGGATGTGGTCATCGAGGGCCGGGAAGCATGGTAAGCATGGTGGGTGTTGGTGGTCATTGAACGGTTGAACTGGAAAATCACTGTCATGTTACGGTAAATCATCATGGCTATCGGTTATCATCTATAAATGGGCTATGGATTCCATGGCCATGTTAAATAGTCAGAGGGTAACTGATGCGGGTCAATTAGAAACTGATGGGGATGAAATAACCCGAAGGGATTATATCACCCTAGAATGATGATAGTTCAGGGTTGCGACAGGCGAGTGGACTTTAAGACGAACATGAAATGACAATGGTTAAATAAAGAGCTCAATCCACTAATTCTGTATATATATATACATATCCAGAGCTTAACAATCAACTGATTATAGGTATGCATACATATAATCATCCTGAAGTAGATAGAATGTGGAATTCCCAGAACTCCAGGATGACTCATCCTAAATGAATCGACATCCTGCCAGGACTGCGACATGGGTTGCAGGTGGGGAGCTGGAAAAATTGGGACCTGGTGGAGGCCCTTTGACAAAAAGAATCGTTTGTTTACATATACTGTATATATATATATGATTATATATATATATATTTATATGCATAATATAATATATCTATGTATTTACTATGATAATGTCATATAAGATATATAAGATCATGTATGTTTATACATGTTTATGATTTGTTTATGAATATTATCTTGTAGACATGAGGTAGTAGTCAATGTAGTATAATTACATCAATTGTAAAGCCTCAGATTGTGGCAGTCTCTGGAAAAAAAAACATGACATTTTCCGAAAGTCTGCGAGGTAATCCATCAATCTAGCCAGATGAAAGACGGTACAGTTTCAATCTTCCTATCCAAAACAACAATCACCTGCAAGCACTGTCACTCGACAAACGCCCTTTGTGAAAGGCCCAACACGGCAGCTGCAGCTCAAGCCATTTTGGCTGCGGCATCCGATAAACGAGCAGCTGCCCTGCAGTTACTGGATGTTCCTTGGCATTCTGACGTGAAAATTGGTTTCCTGAGTCATGGGGATACACCCGAATCATCCAAGTCATGGATGACCATGACTTTAGTATTGAAAGCCATGGTGACTTGGGGACGCCCCATTTTAGGAAACCTCCACATGAAAATCAACATGAAGTCGTTTTGTTCGTTTGTTGCGCACCAATGATGTGACCTTTTTGAAAAAGTCAACCAGAAGCAACATGGCCAGGGTTTGAATGACAAGGTCGGTCGCGAAGGCAAATTTGCAGCAGGTTTTCCAGTAAGTCCGTAGCCACCAGCAGTCCTTCCATTTTCCCATCATTTTCCCCATCATTTTCCCATCATTTTCCCATCATTTCCCCAGCTTTTTTGGCACGAAACCACCATAAACCACCTTTTTTTGAGGCCGCAGCTATGCCCACCATCGAAGTCCGCACCTTCTTGGCCGATCCGGACGAGATTTCACAGGCGCCGGTGATGCGACGAACGGTGAGCGACAGCGATGTGGTCTGCGGGGGACCTTAGAGGATCTTGACCTTGGAGGAGCGACCTGGGATGAGGACCTGGGATGAGGTATTTCTGTATTTCTTGGGTCCTAAACATCCAAAACATCCAACAGAAATCCATCCCATAGGTCCTATGAATCACGACAAAATATCACGGGTTCAATGGGTCCTAAACATCCAAAACATCCCATACCCTCTGGTAAACATACAAAAAGCTATTGAAAATGGCCATAGAAATAGTTGATTTGCCCAGTAAAAATGGTGATTTTCCAGTTCGTTATGTGGCTGTTTACCAGAGGGTAGGTCATGAATCACGACAAAATATCACGGGTTTGTTGAACCCATCCCATTGATCGTTGGCTTGATTTTTTTGACTAGACCAACCCAGAAATCGTCCCTTGTGACCTTTATCATCCTGATTTTGGGGGCTACAAATCGGTTAATATCACTTTTCTTGTTTAGAATCATGTTAAATCAGGTTAATCCTAAGTTTTTGAAGGTTAAATCCATATTTTGGGTTGCTGAAACCAGTATTGGTTGAGGAAATCACCGTGATTTTTCCCCATTTTTCAAGTCCCATTTTGTGGGGCCCATGGCCGGGCAATCGCCCGAACCGAGTCTATGGTTGAATTGGTTAAGAGCTCCCGGAGAAGTGACAGCTTTGATGGAGATCGGTGTCACCTGAAGCATCAGCTGTTGGATTTTCGTCAGAAAGGGAAAATCTACAGGAAGCCCCCTGCTGTCAATGTTCAAAACCCCATGTGTTCTCTATGGATTTTCCATGATTTTCCCTTGAATCCATCGAAAAAAGGAAGTACATTGGAATGATTCAAAAATCATTTGGCCTCTTTGGATGACTTTGGATGACTGGTCATGCTGGTCATGAGTCATTGGTTGCAAATCATCAGTTTTTGGAGAAACACATATTTCGGAAATTTATTAGCTGGAGAGTGAATGCAATTTTTACCCACCCTTTTGCAACTGTCACTGCTCAGAAATGCAGCAGAAACTGCTTCAGATGGTTTCCCTACCCCATCTCAAGCTGCATGTGCCATGAAACATGGCGTCAACCATGCGTTATCCCGCAATGAACAAGATGAAAAAGTGAAGGGTCCAGGACTTAGGATATTCCAAATGGTTCCTGGCACCTTCACTATGCGCGGTCAGGCTGCGCTCAATTTTAGGCCTGAGCGTCTTCTGCCGAAGAGTTTGGGGAGAGGAAAGATCAAATGACCACAACCTCAATGACCCGCTGCGTTGTTTGACGCCCAAAACTCTTTCCGAGGCCACAGATTACTTCAGATTGCTTCATGACTTGGTGATACCCGCAAAAACCCGGGTCCCAAGCCGGTTCTCCCATTTGATCATGACAACTTATGAGAACTCAAAATCTTGGAGCAACTCTGACAGTTTGATGAACGAACTTGGAGGAATGCTTCGATTTTTCGGTCTCAAGGGATGATTTTCTCTCTGCTCATGGCCCAGACTTGGGCTGAAGGTGCTTGAATCGTTTGCCGGCGGCCATGTGAATCGTTTGCCAGGCACTTTGTTTCAGCACTTGAGGTGTGAAATTTGTAGAGACAGCAAGAAATGCGCGCCCGGCGTGCCTGTGCCTGTTACGGCTTCTGCCCTTGGAAGGTCTTGTCAGACAAATTCATGAGGTTTTTCAGGTTTTTTCTGAAAGTGCCAGTGCTCCGGGAGAGTTTGCTATCACCAATTGATTTCAGGGCTTTTTACACCATTTTACACCAAAAATACCGAGAAATACCTCATGCTCAGGAACAGAACCTGGATGAAACTGGCATTATCTCCATTCTTTGGGTCAATATGGGTCAATTATTTCTAAGTTTTCAAGTATGTCACAGTATGTCTCCTTTTTATTTCCTTTTTTCCCTGATGAATTGTATTGAGACAAGTTATTGCTGATGATATCTTTCTGGGCAAATCGCATCCCAAGCGTTTCGCGGCGAAGCCATTTTTCAAAGCCACGGCGCGTCGAGGGCCGAAAGCGAATAGCCAGGTCGGTGGTCGAAACGTCTATAGCTTGATATAACCAAGAAGGGATTGATTTTTCGATGATTTTCTTGGAGCTTCTTGAGCTTTGAAGAGATATTCTTATCGATGGGAAATCCCTCAAGTTCATTGATGGGCGTAAACGACACCAAAAGTCACCTTCAAGCTAGCTTATCATGGTCATGATACCTTTACAGCCTATATTACCTATATAAATATCCTATATATCCTAGCCTATCCCAACATCGAAACCAACTCCTAACCCCCTCTGTTTTCGTCTGCATCCGGTTTCTTTCCGCTAGGCCATGCCAGTGCAAGCTGGGAAGTACGAGTGGTCTTCAGGAGAGGATGAGAGCGAGGAAATCAAGGCCGTTGGAGCGCTGGAGATGAAATTGCGATGGGAACTGGATTTTTTTTGTCATAGCTGGTATGGTGGGATGAAACACCCAACCATTTCAATGGGAATTTCAGGATCCTAAAATCACCACAAAATATGGCCTTATATGGTACTAACGTACCTCCATTTGAGGATCCTGAAATTCCCATTGATCATTTCCCCAATCATTTCTCATACTGCGCGATATTTTTTGCGATCTTGCTATAATGGGATTGTGCTATTGGATGCTATTGGATGCTATTGGATGGTATTGGATGGAATTGGGATGGGTCGCTGGTCAATCTGGGTACTGGGTTTTTCCATCTGCTTATGTTTGATGGTCAACAGATGGATGAGATTTTCACGATTTTTCGCTTCCTCTACGACTTGATGGGAAGGGGGCTCATTTGAAGGCGATTACTCTCTGATCATGCATGGCAATTGAGACGAATTTGACGGAGATTTCAGTTGATCTACAGTATTGCTACTGTCATCTACTGTCGAGGTTTTCACTGTTTCTAGTTTGGAGGGTGAAGATGGCAAGTCGAAGATCTCTGGGTCTTGGAGGTTTAGGTTGAGCACGGAGAACCAATTTTCATTGAGAGAAACACATCTGTAATTGCTGGTTGGTAAGAACAACTATTCATGTCGATTGATGATTTCCTACGGGTTTCAACAATTTTCAACCAATAGTTTGACGGTTACCTTAGTTTGGTTGAATCAATAGTTTGGTTTTCAACCATTTCCTACTGATTTTTTCATAGTTTCTGGTGGAATCAACCTTTGCCAAGGGAACGGTTAAATTTTTCCCCGAAAGGGCGCTATGACTTGGGGCAGGTCTTCGTGCCGATTGAGGACAGTGTTAAGGCCAAAGACTGTGATGTAGGGACGCCCGATGGGCCCGATGGGATGTCATGGGTGTCATGGGATGTCATGGTCATGGGATCCCCAAAACCATGGTGTTATGCGCCAAGTCATGGTCTAATCACTTGGATGTCCATATGAGAAGATTTTTAAGAAACAAGCATCAGGACACCCAAAGAATAGCATGGGGAACCAGCCTAGAAAGAGCAGAGTGGAAGATGATCGTAGGGCGAATCGTTTCTTATTTCCCTGAGATTTTTTTGTGTGTCTCCCATTGCGATGATTGGAGCAACCATTAAGTGCCACCTTCGGGGGCCATCAGGTGAAGATTACCAAAAAGGCGCTGAAGGCTGGAAAACGCCGTTTCAAAATCATGATCTTTTGCAGATCAGGACTGCAAATTAGCTTGATTTCTTCAGCTTCGGTAGCACCTTGATCATTCCCAGGGCTCCGGGGCTCCGGGGCCAGGTGGGTTTGAAAGGGCAAGAGCCGGTTATTGCGGGCGCCTCAGGGTTTTTGTGGAACATTCTTCAGCCCCCAGGGTTTTTGATGCTTAGTTGGTTGATCACTAACCCAAGAAGCTACCGTGGATGGTAGGGATGGTAGGGATGGATTCGCCTGGGATGCGAAGGATGATACGCTTTGGAAGGAGGTGGATCCAGATGAATCCAATTGGGAGTTGGAGAAGGACCTACTTGGGGATGCAGACATCGTGACATCGTGACATGAAGCAGAAAAAACGATGATAGCCTTGTGTCGTTGAAGATAGGCTATGGAAAGCAATTTCTTTAGAGATGATTTACCTTAGCAAAATGGCTATGTTGGAATACCAGAGGGTCAACATAGCGGTCTCCGGAGGATAGCAAAGGAACGCGATGCATCGTGATTTCCTTGCTGAAGAAGTCCAAGTCGCTTGGATGCGCCGTTTCTTGCTGTTTCTGCGGTGAAATCAGAATCACACTGAGGCATGGCTGTCTTCTTTTATGATTCGCCTTTGGTAATTGAATGGTGACCTGGAAAACAGGAAAATCAGCATTTTGAGAATTTTGAATGGGTGAATCATGATGGTTATCATCTATTTCGATTTTCGGTTGGGCGATGGCTTCCATAGCTATGTTAAATAAGCAGAGGGGTAATCACCATTTTCATTTGTCATTCTGCCAGAGTGTCGATCACTTGGGTAATCACCACTTGATACCCTCTGGTAAACAGCCACAGAAAACTCTGGAAAATCACCATGCTATTAATGGGAAAACTCACTATTTCTATGGCCATGTTCAATAGCAAACTGTTAAATTACCAGAGGGTATATATAACTCATAGTTTATAGTTGAATTACCCATTAATAACTGTTAGTGATAGAACGAGAAGCACTTGGATCCCAGCAGTGTCCGTGGTGTCTGTGAGGTGGGATCGATGGGAATACCTGGTGAAGTGTGAGGATGTGCCACCAGACACCAGCATCACCAACAAGGTCCAGCAGCTCCGGAGCCGCAGGAACAGTAAAATCAGCTGCATGGGGAAGATGACCAGAATAGTCAGGTGATCATTGATCGAAATTTAGAGATATTCAGATGGGATCAGATGGGTTTGTCTGAAAATGTCGTGTACCCAATGACCCAATGGTTTTGCTGATCATTATCCCTACTTTTTATGGCTATTTCATTGGGGGTATACCCCATTTTCAGACATATTCAGATGATCGAAATGTGATTGGGAAATTTAGAGAGGCTGCCAAGATCTCTTAAAGCAGGTCTTTATGGAGATCTCCCTGGATGGTGAGAAGCTTGGTCGAATTCTTATGGGCCTTTATGGAAAGCAGGTGCCAAAGACAGTCAGGATCCCCAGGATCCCCAAGCGCCTTTTCCTCAAAATCATTGACTGGATGGTTTAGTATGTTTAGTAAGGACCATGTCCGGCCATTTGGCTAGCATAATCTGACTTTTTAAGTCACCAAGTCGCCAAATTTATCTTCTTCAACGTGTGTACCTAGTCTCAACAAATGAGCTGTGTGTTTTGACGATGTTCCACATCGAGATCCAACGATCTGTGTGCGAACATGTTTGCTCCAAGGCTGAGAATTTCAGAGCCCTCTGCACTGGAGAGAAGGGCGAGGGCAAGGCATCTGCTGCTGGTTCTTGAAAATTTTGATGGACCCACAGAACTGGTTGTTTTGTTTGAATTTTTGATCATCCATATTTTGGGGGATGACTTTGACCAATACCATGAATGGCCTCAGAGTTTGGGTTGTTTGGTGCTCAAAATGGCGAAAAGCTGTGCGGCCGTGCGAAGAAAAAAACACTGCGAGAGACACCCAAGAGGTCATATTTACCGTGTCAAACAGACAATCTTCTCACTTTTCTCAGGCCGGAAAGCCCTTGCACTATAAGGCGTCAGTGTACTGTGCGGTGGATGTGCGTGGTATTGCGGTTTGAAAGCTTCCCAGTGAAAGGGGATCCAAGGTGTTGGAGGGGGTTATAGTCATGGATGCCAATACGGATCACTTATGTCACTTATATCCTATGGTCACAACTAGCATCATGTACATCATATCCGACTTTCAGCAACCTTCCAACATCATCCGACTATCGCAACCCTCCAGAAAGATTGAACAGTAAACTCCCACTTCTTTATTTTTGGCAGATCATGGTAAATTGAACCTTTTCATACCTTTTCTATCTTTTTTTTGGGGTTCCGCTTATCCCAATTTGCCACCTTTATCCAGCCCCCGTGTTTGGATCACTTCGTGCAGGGTAGCGGCTTCCACAGGATTATCCCGAAGTTCATGTGTCAGGTGCGTCCGACGTGATGTCCTGTGTCGCCGTGTTTTTTCTTGGGTCGTGTTTTGTGTTCTGTGGGTTTTTTAGGACTTTTCTGGATGGTTACCCTCTGGTAAACTAACATAAATATGGAACATCACCATAGAAATAGTGGATTTTCCCATCAATAGCGTGGTGATTTTCCATAGCTATGTTAAATTACCAGAGGGTATTTACCTATGAGACATTTGGACATAGGAACTGCATGCAGCTGCAGGTGGAGTTTTGTTGGTCAGTTGTTGGTCCAGTTGCACTTCGATAGCTCGCCCCCATTGGGATGGCAAAAAATTGTGGCCCAGGGTGGCGACTTCACGGCTGGCAATGGAACTGGTGGAGAATCCATTTATGGACGGCTGCTTGCTGTGATCATTTGTGAGGTCAAAAACTTGGATTTTCCCATGGAGGAACCAAGCAGTCAGGTCTTAACAATATATTCTGATACCATCTGGTTATTTAACATACTGTAGCCATGGAAAATCACAATTTTTAATAGGTAAACCATCTATAAATGGGCCATTTCCCATGGCTATGTTAAATAACCCGATGATAACAGACGTCTTAATCACCTTAATCATGGCCGAAATCTCAGGAGTACATAGATCTTGACCATTCTTGACTCACACCTTAGTTGTTCTGCTGATTTAAATCAGTCAACCCCCAACCAACTTTGAGCCACACGTGTCTTTTCCTGTTGTCTGCAAATCGTGAGGAGAGAAGTTTGCGGATGAAAATTTCAAGGTGAAACATACCAAGCCGAGACCTGAGAAATCAATGAAATCGATGAAATCGAGGCAGTTGGATTCCAACTTGGACAGTTTGGGACCTGTGCCCTTTAGCCGTTGGATTCATGGATGACATGAGTGAAATGAGGTTTTCAGTCCATGTTAGACGGGAAAAATCGTTGCAAAAAAATCACTCACTTTACTCACTTTGCTCCTTGAGCAGATCTGCCATCTCCATACATCTCCCATGTTTTCGTCACAAGGCCTGGGCTCCTGTCCATGGCGAATGTGCAGATCTAAGATCTCTTTGTCATGACTGGGATGACCAACAAAGAAATGAAGGAAATCAGGTGATATGACAGCTGCAGTTTGAGCAGTTTTAAGTTTCAAGAAGTCTTGGTGCTTTTTGTTTCAAACAGGTTTTTATGTGTTTACCTTCACTTTCTGTGATAGTACCTTGATAAACTACCCTCTGGTAATTTAACATAACTATGGAAAATCACCATTTTTAATGGGAAAATCCACTATTTCTATGGTCATTTTCAATCGCAAACTGTTAGTTTACCAGAGGATTTTTAGAGTGGAACCAATACACCAAATTTCGAGTAGATTTGGATGATCGCCCTTGAGGCTGGCCCGGGAACTAACGGCAGCCAGTGAGGGGACCCTGTTGGGACCTGGAGAGTTGGGTATGGCCCAACTTCAACCAGAATATTTCATAGCTATAGCCATGGGATACTTATCAGGTGATCATAAAGGTGATATACTATAATATATTATAATATACTATAATAATACTCTTCAACATGTATATACACTTATCACCCTATCCAGCCTCCAGAATACAGGGCTGGCACCAGCTTTTTCGGAATGGGCGCATGGGAATTTTCACTGGTGATGACTCCCAAAAATTCACACATCGTTTCAAGGTGCGAGAACACACAACTGGAAATTGTTTGTATGTTTTGAAACCTTGGTGAATCCAAATCATCAGCAAAAAACAATAGAAACACCTACACTCCTGAATTCTAAATGTGGAACTTCAGGCTCCTGAACCACCTAACATGGCACCATGGTACGGTGTGGAGTGGATTTTGTTCCCCAGGAAATAATGCGACTTACTTTTTAAATAAAATCACTCCAAAACTGACACGGAACCCAATGCTGCACCCCGAAACAGCCAACATGGAATTTGAAAAAGTCACCGCAAATCAATCTGCAACCTTGAAGGCTGGGTTGAAGGCTAACCTTGGAATCCAAACGGTTTTTAAGGCATTGTTCCTACATACCACAGAAAATGGTTAAAGCCTGGGTGTTTTGCCGCGATTCTACCTGGAGATCCTTCATCCCTACAAAAATCGGCAAACTGAGAAAGAGATGGAAAGAGCAACAAGGAGCAAAAGAAAGACACACGTGACAAGAGATCGTGCTGCCACTTTATATTTTTCTATATCGGTTGGGTTCCATGTTGGTGTCCGCTGCAAACCAACGCGACGCGATACACATTCAAAGCCTCGCTGCAAGCGACGGCCTGCGGACAACGGACACCTAATGAGGTTGTGTTCGGGGGACCCACGGTTTTTGTGTTGGATTCCATGTAAGCTGGTGGGTTCCGGTTTCTGGCTTGCAGGATTGGGTTGGATATGGGAGAGGTTGGGTCTAGGGATTGTGGCTGCAAGCCGAATACAACAAGCTCAGGAAAGAGCGAACCCTTGTTGCAAGCGACGGCTCGCGGAGAACGGGCAGCTAACAGGGAAATCACATTTGGATAAATTTGGCATGTTTTATCTCTAAGGGATTCACAGCGGGGTTTTGGATCCGATAAGGGGTGGGGGAGGACAAGCCGGGCTGGCTTCCATGTTGGGTTGTGTACTACAACCGGGGGGGGAGGCATTTTGGGTTCCGTGTTAGGTCAGTGGCTGGCAAGAATTGAAACCAAGACACCTCCAAGAAGAGGTCGTGTCGGCACTTATTTTTCGATATGTGTTGGGTTCCGTGTTCGTCGCACAACCTTCCAAAGTAAACCGCAACGGGGTAGCACAACGGGAACAACATGGAGGAACACAGCATAAAGGCTGGCTAAATGCCCACACAGTTCAGGTGCTAACATGGCACCCACCTTGCACCCAAGCTTTAAACGGCACCTTGAAACAGCTGAATGTCCTGTACAAAATAGGGCCGCCAGTCCAGATTCAACCCAAAAACGTCAAACAGATCATTTTTTCCTTTAGCAGTTGTAAAACAATACTAGGATCCTTAAATCCATTGACATCTCCGTGTCAAGCGCCATCGGAAAACAACGATGGCTAACACGGAAGTTTTGGATTCGCCCTCAGTGGCAACGTACGGGGTTCTATGTTAGTAAGAAGAGTGCCCAAAAAGTGTCCAAATTGTCTAAATTCACCAGGCCTGACCATGGTACCTGCCCTGCATATATCCCGGTCATGAATTCTTAACATAGCTGAGCCAACATGGGGCCCAATATTTCTATCTTTATTTTGCGTAAAATGTTAGTTTTCGGGTGAGTAAAAAACAACCATCCCAAACAACGCCGTAGTTCAACTGTCCAAGGTTCTTCATCACCGTCAAGGAGTCCTGCTGCTGTTTGCTTGTTGGTAGGTGGGTTCTCCATCCCAGCAACAAAAAGCATCAAGTCGGGTCAGACCACCCCTATTCCCAAAAAGGTTGGTCCATTGAGATCAAAAACATGTTTTGCATTGGATATTGGTTACCCTCTGGTAAACTAACATAACTATGGAAAATCACCATTTTTAATGGGAAAATGCACTATAGATAGTCATTTTCAATAGCAAACTGTTAAATTAGCAGAGGGTAGTTATGGTTAGTTGGGATCAATTTCAATCCTCTCTTCCATTGGGATCATCATCCAATTTTTAGGATAAACACATAACACACAGACACACATCATTGAAACCACCAAGAAAGAAAACAGTGTCCTGAAGCTGCCTAGGAGACGCCTCACTTGGACATGAAACATGTGGTCTTTGGGGAAGTCTTGGAGGGCTATGAGGAGGTGGTCAAGAAGATGGAAGCAGCTGGGAAGCTTAGATTTTTCATTTTTCATTAGTTTCCTATGTACACCTCTTATGAAAATCATATTAAACAAACATTATGACCAAGAACCCCTTCTTTATACGATTCATTATATGTATATATACATTAAACATAAATACTATAATATATAAACAAACATTATGGGATAATTTCCAACCTATCATCCCAACTTGTCAATTTCTTCTTGGATGATAAGTTGGGCCCCCAGGATTTCGGCTGCTTGACCCAGGTGGGACAGTCCTCAGGTGAGACTTCAAAGAAGGCAGCTTTCTGCTGTGGATCCCTGGATTTCTCGGACACCAACTGGATGGCTAGTTACGGCTAGTTTCATAGATCTTGAGATGGAAATATGGATGGAAAATGATGGACATATAAAACAAGTAGCTGCTAAGTAGCTGAAACTCGATGTTTTCTGGCACTTTTATACTGTGGGACCGGATGGATCAAGTTACCTCAACGGCAGGTGGTCATCGAAGATTGCGGAGAGCTGTGAGGTGCACCAAAAGAACCAAAGAATCAAACATATGAGTCACATGAGCATGATTTTCCAATAATCATATGTTACATGAATGTTCACATGAATCTTTGGTGATTTTCCAATAATCATATTTGAGTCTTTGGTGATTTTCCAATAATCATCCACAATTTTACATGAATGACTTGGGGAGACACCAAAGAAAAGAATCAGCTCCGAATTTTCATTTCCATGATTTGATATTGGCGGAAATGGATGCGAAATTCAAGTCACAAGTCACTTATGTGGTAAAGCTCAATACCATCCACCCCATATTTGATGCTTATTTTCCCACCCATTTCTGGTAAAATCGGGGGCCACAATTACAACAAGAAAACACCATGGCCGGCCCCAGAGTTTTGTCGTTGAAATTTTGGTGCTTTGCTCTAACATGAGCCAAGCCACAGGGTGCGCGAAATCTGCGCCCGAGAAACCTGTCTTTTAAAACCGGCCGGGAATGCGGAGAAAAGTAACGACGCTGCGGACCAAGATTGTTCGGGACGAGATCAGGTGGACTCGCAAGATGTACTGTAGCTGGTGGTTATCGAAAAAAGTTTAGAAGTCAAATTTCCGACAATATGGACAGATGGAAAAGCAGAGGTGGTAAGAGTCAGCGAAGAGAAGAGCAGAAGAAAGAAGATCAGAGAAGAGAAAGAGTCAGGAGAAAGAAGATGCAGGTGCGCGAAAAGGTAGAAAAGTCGCGATTCACTGCTTTCCAATGATTTGTGGCTCCGGAGGGTCGAAAAGTAGGCTCGCTAAAGCGGCGGGTGCGGAGCCATCTGGCCAGATGAGAGATGAAAAATTGCACGCCGTTGTGGCGCGAAGCACATTTCCAAGTCAAATGTGCAAAGCACACCGTGCTCGGAGCATTTTTGGAAGTTGAGATGTCGCAAAAGTGCACGCCGTTGTGGCGCGAAGCGCGTTTCCAAGTCAAATGTGCAAAGCACACCGTGCTCAGAGCATTTTTGGAAGTTGAGATGTCGAAAAAGTGCACGCGGTTGTGGCGCGAAGCACATTTCCAAGTCAAAATGTTAAAAGCACCACATGTTCGGACCACTTTTGGACGTTCAGATTTCGTTCCGCATGGCCGGCGCAAGGGATTCTGCACCTTGTCAAAAGTGAGCAAAACGTGAGGGTTTTCTACAGTAGCATGTTCCAAACACGATGCATTTCGCGTGGCAGGCGCAGTACAAGAGACATGTTCATCAGAGATGTTAGGAGGTCAGGGTGCTGATTTCCTGAGAGGGGTTGGATTTTGGAGCATCAGATCTTCGGTTTTGGGAAGATGATTTTGTGCGACAGGTGCAACACTTCGTCGTATGACCTGGCCTCACTTTTTCGTGGCAGGCGCAATACTTTAGACATATGGACTGGAAAAAATGGCAAAACGCAGTGACAGGAGGCCGTCAGCTCTACACTCAACTTTCCATTATTGAAGGAAGTCTCGCAGAATTGTTTCGTTCTTGATGTTGCCAACTTCGAAAATTGAGGAAGTCTCGCAGAATTGCTTCGTTTTTAACGTTATCAAGTTCAAAAGTTGAGGAAGTCTCGCAGAATTGCTTCGCGTTTCATGTTGTCACGTTCGAAAATGGAGGAAGCGTTGCAGGATAGCTTCGTTTTCAAACTTGCAGATAGATGGATAAATGGATAGATAGATAGATAGTTAGTTAGAGAGATAGATAGGTAGATAGATAGATAGATAGATAGATAGATAGACAACTACAACTGCAACTACAACTACAGCTACACTACGCTACCACTCCAGCTAAGAATACAAATATACTACGCTACAGCAAACTAATTGCATACACTACGCTAATTACACTACACTACAGTACGCTACGCTACGCTACGCTACACTACCCTACCCTGCACTACACTACGCTACACTACACTACACTACACTAATTACACAACTACTATTACTACTACTACAGCTACAGCTACAACTACAACTACATTACTTTACATTACACTACATTAATTACGTTACTCCGCAGTACACTACACTAGACTACAACTACAACTGCAACTACAACTAGAACTACAACTACCACTACACAACACTATGCTAGACTAATTACACTACACTACAACTACAACTACAATACAGGTAGAGCTACAACTACATTACACTACACTAATTACACTACACTACAATACACTACATTACACTACAGTCAACTACACTACGCTAAACTGAATACGGCAACAGCTACAGCTACAACTACAACTACACCACTTTACACTACACCACTTTACACTACACTACACTACACTAGACTACACTAAAGCACACAACACTACAGCACACTACACTACACTACATTACACTACACTCATTACACCACATCACAGCTACAACTGAAACTGCACTACACTAATTACATACACTACACTACAACTGCAGCTTCACTACACTACAACTACAACTACGGCTGCACTACACCACACTACATCCAGCAGTTGTGGGGGAGGCGACCGCTGCAACAATTGCAACCACTCCAAAAAACACAACTCCAACCACCTGTCGGTCCATCAGTGGATTCGCTCTGCCATTCGTGATTCACAACAACCAGCCTCTCCTATAGGTTTCCTATTTTTGAAACTTCCGCCACCGCCTTGGGCGGCACTACTGGTATAACTATGACTATATGACTATGTATCTATATTACATGGCTATATATCTATATGACTACATAACTGTAACAACTATGTCATAAATAAACAAGTTCCTTCGTGCCTGAAATGAGGATCCAAAAAAATTGACCTTCGTACTGTTGGAGATGGGTGGTTCAACCGCCAACCCATGTAGGTCGTCTAAGCAGCCGCTGAGGCTCATCAGATTGTCACAGATGGAATTCACAGCTGTCACAGCACTGCACAAAGCCCCAACAGAGGAACCGGTCTACCAAAATGGAATGTGAGGTTTGAAGGATAGTTTGGCAGGGTTTTTCAATATTTTTGCAGCTACCAGTGCAACCAATGAAGGAAGTGAATGACTCAAGTATCTAACGTGGCAAACCCAACAATAGACCGTCCCAAATTTTGCAAGAAATGGGTGGTATAACCACAAACCATTTCCAACAGAAGGTGTATTGCATTGAATTTACAACAAGCAACCACTTTTTCACCCCAGAATTGAGATATCATCTATAACATATTTTTAACCCAGAATCCAACCCCATATTCAGACCTTACATGAACTATTATCTTCTGAGTTGCTGAAGAAGTCCCTTTCCAAAGACCTGGTTTATTCGCTGAAGATTGGGTTTGTCCAACATCTTGGGGGTTTATCGTTCAGAAATGGGTGTTCAAACAACCAACCGTAATGGGGATATGATGGGATACCAAGTGCAGGTAAACGTGGCCGTGGATGACTGGCAAAAAGCCAAAGAAACAGGAGATGAGCAGAAGGTGAAGGAGGCGAAGGAGGAAGTGAAAGAGGCGGAGGCGAAGGTCGAAAAGGCGAAGAAGGAGGTGGAAAAGGCGGAGGAGAAAGTGAAACAGGCAAAGAAGGAAGTGAATGAGGCGGAGGAGAAGGTGAAAGCCCAGCAGGAGAAGGCCATTCGCTGCACAGCTTCAGTGTGGTCACAGTTCTCCCGAAAGATGCAAAAATAGATTACTACTTTATATATCTTCACATTCTATGGTTCAAAAAGTTCTGTTTCTTGAGTGAATACCCTCAGTAGGCCTCCAAAAGATGAATGAATCCCACAAGGTAAACAAAAGGATGGTACACAGGATTGAAAGAACCAGAGAGTCAAATAACGCTTAACAGACTCAACACGACATCTTAACACCGGAGATGTTCTCTTGGTCCAGGTGCCAGGCTTCCAGTCTCTCACTGAGCTTCTTGGAAGGCTGCTTTTTTCCGATGCCGTGCCGCTGAATGACAGAAAGGCCACTTATTCTTCAGCGTCTTCGTACATTGTCGACTTGGGCAGGGGCCCGTTCAACGGGGAACTGGCCCTGCAAAAGACCAATTTGAAGGCACAGCTTCTAGATCGTGAGCAGGAAGTGCAACTTATTGTGGAGATGTTGCTGGAAAGGTCAAACAAATTGTTTGGCAAACGTTCGTCAGACAAGGCTTTCTCGCCAGCCATCCTAGTGGCGCAGGCACCTGGAGCAGGCAAGAGCCATTTCCTGGCCGTGCTTGGAGAGGAGATTCCCATGCTGTACGACCTGGATGGCAAAAACCAGACACCAATCGTCTCGGCTTTCACCTACAACTCTGGAATGGGTTTGATTATCAGTGACAATCCAGAGGCTGACTTGGCGCTGCGGGTTCTTTATGGTGCCGCAAGGCACATGAGCAGGACAACGTGCGAGTGGCGTGACTTCTTAAGAACATGGAAATCTCGGGAGATTGACTCGATTGACATCGATTTAGCTGTGGAAATCCTGCGCAGATGGTACGGTGACCGTCCCGTTGTGATCCTGGCTGACGAGCTTGGGAAGTCGAAGGACGAAGCTTTGGTGCGCCAGGAGCTTTGCAGAGCCATGGACCTTTGGGGAGGCCAAATTTTTGTCGTGATGTCTGGTCTCACCAACTACGAAGCAGTTGTGAAGATGTTCAGGGGCAGCCAGCGAGAGGTGTACATTCACACTTTAACAGTGCTGGGTACTGAAGCCTACGACCTTTTTTCTGCCAAGCTCAATGAACTGCAGCAGAATCAGGCAAAAGGTATCAAGAGGGACATCTTGGAGTACCGCATTTCTCTTGCCTGGGGAGCTACTGGCGGCTACGCACGGGCCATTGAGAAGATGGCGAAATACATCAGAGACTTTGCCCAAGGTCTTGAAGCTGGAGTTGTCTCCAGGGCCACAACACACCTTGCAGAAGAAGTTAATAACTTGCCCCCAATGTTTTCCACGGGCAATCTGGAATCTTTACTAGAGATATGGGAACGAGAAGATCCTTCTTTTCTGTCTCGGATGACAATTGTGAATCTGATGCCTGAAGCCACCTACAAAGGGAGTGTCCTAATAGACTCGCTTACGCAGGGGAGGATGCAAGTCTTGTACCTCCCAACTGTTGCTCCGTGGCATGCAGCCCGCTTCTTCACGCAGATGCAAACTCACAAGAACCTGCCACCGAGATGTGCCAAACTCATGGGTTTCGCCGGCAGGGCATATAAAAACAAACTCGATGCCATTGAGAGCAGCAACGTCCAGACCATGAAACAAGCCAGCTCGTACTTCACTGAAATTGTGGCGGCTTTTGCTGCCATGTTTGCGATCGTGAGGAAGTACAAGAAGCTGCCACCACTTCTGACACGGGGTACGGCACGAAGCATTTGCGACATCGGCCTTGATGATTCGTTCTTGCAGGATGAAGAACTTGCCATGAAAAGCAAGGAGGATGCAGATGAGAAGTTAGCATCATTTTTGGAAAAAGCCGTGGAACTGAGCAAACAGAAGGGCAAGGAGCAACCCTTCTTAGTGATCATGGCTCCGCCCAACTGCAAGGCAGTTGATTTTGTCATCTTCTGCCAAGATGAGAACAGTTTTGTGGCTGTTCAGGTGAAATCCAATTTTGTGACTGAGGCCAAAACCCAGAATGAACAAAAGGCAGCCTTGCTGCAAGCAGCGAAGGACATCCGCTCTGCAAGTGTCTCATTGCAGCCTGTGGCCTTCCTTGCTATAGTCGGCTCCAACTACACAGAAACACAGGACTTGAAGGCTGACACGTTTCTCCTGCAGCAAGAGGATCTCGTTGCCCTCATCCCGCCCTTTCTGCGTCAACTCTCGGGTCTCGCTGCAGGGGTGCAAAGCGTGGAATGTGAGGATGCGTGAGTGGAAAAAGATGGAAAAAGAATCCAAAGCAGATCCAAAGCACGTGAAACATTCTGTTTGCCATATTTGCAATGCACTTTGCCTGGCTTAGCAATTTTGGCTTTTTCGACACCGCTAGTTACGTTAGTCTCAATGGACAGGTTTTTCCGTTCTACGCTTTTGAAAAGGCAATGCTTTCGGTCACGCTTTGAGCTAATTACTATATAATGATTGAAACGGTAGCAGCATTTTGCCTGGATCAGCGTGTTTGGCTTTTACGACGCCGCGAGTTGGTCTCAATGGGCATGGTTTTTGTTCAATCATTCATTCGAAAGAAAGATGATGGTTTTCAAAGGTTGTACAGTCTTTTGAACACTTGAAATGTCTTCAAAGTTTTGCAAGTCACGTTGATTGCATTTGATGCGCGCAGCTTATTCACTCTTCTTTAGATTATGCGGGTGTTGAAAGTACTCTTCCTTACACTAGTGACCCTGTAATGCCACCATGAGAGCAAAGCAACGGAAACGAGGCAAGCCATGTCTATATGTGCTGGGCTTATGTTTATGCCTTCCATATGCTTGTTAGAAAGCTGCTAACAAGAAATTCACCTTGACAGGCTGGGTCCTTTTGGTAACGGTGTGGCTTGTCTCCAGGCTTGTTGCCTCACCCTTAGTTGACAGTGGATCCAAGTGGAGTTGCAACTTACTTCTTTTTGAGAGCCTGTTGCCAATCCAATTGGGTCCCGCATTTGTGCCTTAAGGTGAGCCCCATATCTTTCTGTTCGCAAAAGCCTAGTCAGCGGCACGGTTTGGGACGGCTTGTTGCAGCACCAAACAAGGACCATACAGAGGGAAGAACCGTTGCACCCAGTTCACAGACGTCTTGCGTTTTGTGCACGTCAGGCAAACTTAAAGGTTTGATTTTTAGAGCAATCGTATGCTGTTTCCATTTGGTTCGGTGCAGGACCCACCAGGAATCAAACCAGTCGAGGAGATGGGGTAGTTGACGTCCCCAAAAATGTGCTGACTTGAAGTGCTCCTTCCCCAAAACATAGAGCAATAATTCCTATGTTCCCATTCAGCTCTGCTTGGTGACCTTCCGACGAATGAACTTTTGCCATGGAATTTGTAACAGACAACTGAGTCAGAGTGCTTTCATAGCGCCTCTTTTTCAGCCCGCAGGAATCGGCAAGAGATGAGGCACACGGCTGTCAGCCAATTGAATTCCCGTTTTTTCACAAAAGACACCTTCACTTTGTCCAATTGTTGAAAGCCGTTGCTTCACGTTTCGTCTTCAAACAACTTTGCTTTTGCTTCGAAATTCCCTGCGACATGTCACACATGTGACGTGATTGCTCCAAACCTGTCATCTAGTGAATCTAGTGTCCAGTTTTGTTTCTTCAAACCGAAAGAAACAGAAGAAGAGCTGAATGGAAGTTATGTGCTGTTTGCAACAGACTGCGCTCAGGCTGCACATGAAGCCAAGAACCATCAATTCTATTTGAAGAGACGTTCTAGTTAGTCTTTGTTTTTCATAGGTCTCACTGCTTATACTCGTCATGTATGGCTCAAGAAACAAGCGTGTACATGCTGACTGTTTTTGGCTTGTTAATCTGTCAAACAGGTTATCAGCCGTAAGCTAACTTCTTCCTTTCTAGGTATGTCTGCCCCCTCGGATTCCACCACCGAGGGCACCGGTCGCGTTAACTCCTCTGACCAAGCCATGGCTAATCCGGGGACATTACCTATTAGTAACTTGCCATTCTCTATTGACATCAGCACCCCACCAAGCTCCGACAAATCCAGAAGCTTACGGGAACGACGCCACCTTCCACATTTGAGTAACGCAGTTGTGCCTTCTCATGTGGGATTCAGTCACCGTGGTTTTGTCCCCCAAGCCGCTCGGGAGGGTGGGCCACCGACTCGCCAATTGAACCAGATGAATGTCCATAATACGTTCCAACACAATGTTCATGTTGACAATCCTCAAGTGAATTTTGTCGAGCAGAATTTGCACCTTCATGCACATGATCCTGCTGTGACAAGCCTTGTGGAAACAACGGCCGAACTCCGTCATCGTGAAGTATTGGCCCAGGCCGAAGCCCACGCTGAGGCCGTCCACACGGCAAAGACTGAGGAATTGGTGGAAGCATTGCGAGTCCGTGAGGGCATTGAAAGTCAGAGGGCCTTAGATGCAATGATGTCCAAAGAACAAGAAGTATTGAGAATGGGAGCACAGTATAGGGAGAATTTACAGCATGAGGCGCACGAACATGTAAGGTTCCGAGAAGCTCAAATGAATGAGAAAATTCAGGCCTACCAACGTGTCATTGATGCTAACCATCGTCAATCACTATCAAGTAAGGAGCAAGAGATCCTTGAATTGAGAAGAGCAGCTGAGGAAGAGAGAAGGGTTCAGAATGAGCGCATTACACAGCTTGAACACATGGTACAAGTACAGATGCGGCACAATCTGAAACTGCAAAGTATGCTCGATTCCCAATTTGCTCAGGTTCGTCCAAGTCCTATTGTCGAAACTGCCGCCATGACTATGACAGCCGGAACCCATGAATCAACGGAGATCCCAAATTTCGAATTTGTTCCACCGACCCGCAAGGCTGCACCCGCAGCACCTCCGACCAATGTAGCCCGACCTCCAATTGCAAGAACGCCGATCAACTTTACTTCACCTGATGCCAAGACTTATGAAAAGGATGGTATTGAAATCATTTATCATGACCCATCATATCGAGTCCCAGTACAAGTAAAGAAGGAGTCGGATGTTGCAAGGTCTTCCGTTGAGGAACGCCCTTCGGGAGGAGAGGCCAATAATCGTCGCCGAGATAATCATCCCATGGATAATGTTAATTCCCCTGCGCCGACCAATCAATATGCCCCGACCGAACTAGGCCCAGATGAAATGGAGCACTTCGAGCCGGGGGGCGATGATGCGCCTGATGGGGACGATCCAGGGGATGGAGGAGATGGCAACGGAGGGAACGGGGGAGGTGGACCACCATCACCACCTGATCCTATTGATAAACATGAAGGGGATAGGAACCGTAAGGCGCCCAGAAAAGGTAGGGCTGGTCCCAATCCTCCTGACGGCGGTGATGACGGTGATGATGATCCCGATGATGATGATGATGAGAAGTTCAGGCGAAGAATGATCAAGTTTCTAGGTGGCTACATCGATCCATGGCATGATGACAAACCCAAGGTCAAGGAAGCTGACACCATCAAGATCCCAGCATTCCCATTGGCAGAAACCTATCGCAATTGGAGAATTAAGACCAGAGAAGCAGTTGTAGCAGCATCAACCGATCCCGACAGTGCTTTCAAGTGGATTAGTGATTCTTGGAAAGAAGAACAGACCCTTGAAGCGCTCCGGAAGGTTGCGCCGTTTGCGACACTTGATGCAAAGTTACTTTCTGCACTCACCAATATCATCACTGGTGACTTCGCCCACAAGGTAGATACCTTCAAGGAGACTGAAGCCACCGCTGGACGGATTGTAAGAGGGAGACAAGTGTTGTTCATGTTACATGACCACTTTAGTACCAACATCAAGCACGGAGCAACCTATGCCCTTCAAGATTTGTTCAGTGTCCAATTGCGCGGGGAGAATTTGAAGTCTTTCATTTCAAACTGGGATCAAGTGTTGGCTGGTATCGTCCAGACTCCCGAAGTAAGTGTATTGGAGACACTCTTCTACAAACAAGTGAAGAATTGTAAGGCCATCCAACATGACATGAATGAGTATCATAGAGCTGATGAAGGAACCGAAAAACGGAACTACAGTTTTCTTGTTTCTGCCGTGCGACGCCACCTTGACCGCGAGAGGTTGGAGGCAAATCGTGATCGAGTTGCCAAAGGTCTTTCGGGTTCCGGTCGTCCCTCCGCTCCCGCAGTCGAGGGCAAGACAGGATTCATTCCCAAGGGGTATTGTGTGGCATGGAATAAGGGAGGCTGTAGCAAGGACAACTGTACTTACAAGCATGAAGTCCCCAAGCCACGTGATAGAAGTCGCAAACCCAGCAAAACCAGAGGTCGCTCAAATGAACGTTCCGGTTCTCCCAGACCAAAGGGGAAAGGTAAGAAGATTTGCAAGTTTTGGAAACAGGGACGTTGCGATAGAGGAGCTGATTGCAAATTCCTTCATGAGGGTTCAGTGGGAAAGCCAAGACAAGCTACTCCTGCCCGTTCGGCCAGTAGCGAAAACAAAAACAAAAAGAAGAATCCCAAGAACCCGAAAAGGAAGGGATCCAGAAGCTCTAGCCGCTCTAAGAGCCCCAAGAGCCCGAAATCCCCGAAGTCTAAAGGATCCGGGGCCAGTTCATCTAAGCCGTCTCCTGCCGCAGTTTGTCTAGTTGCATCCATGCTTGCATCCGTGTCTCAGGCATTTTGTATCCCTCAACCAAGAGTATTTTGTCCATCGATCCGTTTTGATGATTCGCCGGACGTATCCCATGTTAAAGTCCGAGGGAACTTGAGGCCAATTGGAAACGCAGTCACCAAGGATAAGGTTACCTTTCCGTGGGGACATCAGTTTGAAGTTGATCAACTTGCTGTGAATGATGCCGCTTTGACCGGTACCATGTTGGCAGGATCTGTTTCCAATTGTCTTCGGGGAATGGAATGCACATGTGCCTATTTATGTGACACAGATTTTGGTTGCAATGAATGTATCCCAAAGGGAATCAAAGCCACCCCTGCGGAATGTAGAGAAGACGTGAAGGGAGCGATCAACCTTGAACTTGACTGGATTGCAGATACGGGGAGTGCTCAAGATCTTGTCAA